ACACGTAATACCAACAACAGCTATTAGCAACTCAAAATCAGCACACCTTAATCTATCATATCACTAGCCTAGTTTCGTCTCCTTGAAAGTAAGTTTAAAACAGGGAATAGAGCATCTGGGGAGACACCAGACACAAAACTTCGCCCAGAACTTCAGCAGGCTTCATGAATAACACAAAACTCAAACTTGCAAGTGCCTCTCCAGTGGGAGAATTTTTCACTATTTTTAAAAGGTTTCAATTCATAATTAATAGCAGAATATAATATGATACTTGTAATTATTATTATCATATTAACTGCTTCTGGGGATTGCCGCTTACCTGCCAAGCCCTGAAATTATTTGATTTAATCCTCATTCAATCTTAGAAAATACGTATCATTGTTTCCCTTACAAATGGAGAAAGTCACATTTAGAAAGGTCACCCAACATGCCCAAGATCACTCAGCCAAGATTCAGCAAGCAAGGTTAGAACAACCAATTTGTAAGACCCCAAAGCACCTGCGTAGACTGTTCCAAATATACAGTGTTACTGGCTTCTGTATATTTGTATACAGATTGGCTTCTGTATATTTGTATATTATATATTATTTGTATATTATATTATTGTATATTATATTATATTATAATTTATTATATTATAATAATTACAATCATATTATATATAATATATTATTGTATATTATATATTATTTGTATATTATATATTTGTATATTATATATTATACTGTATATTTGGCTTCTAAAAAACAACGATAAGCAGAACATGAAATGCTGTTGCCACAGTAAAAGCACAGAGGCATGAGGGGGTCAGGAACTTGGGAGGACTGAGGGAGAGCAGACACCTGATGTTGCTGGGGAGCCAGGTCGCTGTCAGCCGAGTAAGCAGAAACAGGGCAGAAGTTCTCTCAAGACCAGCTGGACCTGAACTTCACTAAAGCCAGCCAGCTAGCACCTTCAAGGAAATGCAGCTGTCAGACGCAGGGTGGCCTTTTCAAAGGGAACATTTAAGTCAGAATGTGAGTTGAAGAGAAAAATTTGCTTTAAGTGGTTGTGACCCAAAGCTGAAAGCTCTTCTGTGGGACTGGCAGCCAAGTGTCTTTGCACTAGAAGTGTTTATATTCACAGTGCAAGAAATCAGGTGTGGGGGTGCTGAGGTAGATGAGTAACCCACTCTATTCAAATGGTGCACAAATAAATGAGAGATGCAGCTGGTGGGCTCAGGTGAGCTCTCCAGCATCTGGCCTCAGCAGTTTATTGTTTTGTATTATCTCTCTCTCTTTTTTTAAAGATTTATTTATTTATTTTATACAAGAACCGGGGTACAGGCCAGATGCGCGGGAGGGTGAGAGGATTCACCAGAGACAGAGCGGGGAACAGAACAGGCAGATTGACGAAATACACTGCTGAGGGGAGCAGAGGGTGCGACAGGAGAGATCTGCTGCGGCATGTGGGATTCTCGCTGGCCAGCCGGGATCGAATCCATGATGCAGAGGCTGCGGGCAGATTCACAGCGCTGCACTCAACAGCCTGCACCACCAGGGGAGGCCTGTTCTTTATCCATTATAAAGAAGTTTTGATTCTCATAAAATATGTTTTCTTGGTTAAAAGCAGGGTGGAGTGTGGCAGAGGTGCGTTGGGGAGAGAGTTAACAAGGGAGAAATAAAATATCAGTGAAAACTGGAAATCTTGCTAGAGTGTACATGCTAGTGTGCACATACACAATCAACAATCACTTGAACACAAGTTTCAGTTATCATGTAATTTGAAAGAAAGCCTACATTCATTCATTCATAGAAATATTTATTTATAGCCTAGGCTACTTACCTATACAGACTAGTCTATTATTTTTTAATGCTGCACATTTGTAAATTTTTGGGGATGCAACCATAAAGGTACAGGCTGTAGGCACCCATAGGTGAGGGTCCCACTTAACGAGAAGCTTGTGTTTGCAGGGAAAGTACTGCTCACACACCACCTGGCTAAAGATTCACTCACTACGGTCTCAATGGCAGCTGCTGGTACCTTGTATCAGAAATGAGGAAACTGAGGCTCAAAAAACTTAAAACACTACAGTGGTGATATTACATGTTTTCTTTTAAAAAGATGTCAAACATGGGCCTCCCCAGTGGCGCAGCGGTTGAGCGCTGGGCTGCAAAGCTGCCCGCATGCAGCCTCTGCAGCGCCAGTTCAATCCCCAGCCGCCGGCAAGGGTCCCGCACGGTAGGCAGACTTCTCTTGCCGCCCGCTGCTCTCCTCAGCAGTGTATTTCGTCAGTTTGCCTGTTCTGCTCCCTGCTCTGGCTCTGGTGAATTCTCTCACTCTCCCACACTTCTGACTGTACCCAGTGCATGTATAAATAAATAAATAAATCTTTAAAAAAATAAAAAATAAAAAGATGTCAAACATGCAGCCCATCTGGGATGGAAATGTGAACCAAAACGTGTCCTTGCTTCTCCAAGTTGTTCTTGGAAGCAAAAGGTCTTGCAAACAATAAAAAACCTGCCTGGTTAAACGGTTTGTGAAGAAGCAACATTTGAGACATTATAAGTGAGGAAAGCTATTTTGGAATTCAGCGTATTTTTTGTTTAGGCTTTAACTTTTTCATTTTTGTGTCAAACTACTTTGAAGAATGTATGTAAAATATATAAATAGAACTATATCATCATTTGTAGCAAGCAGCCTAGCAGGTTTTCTACAAAACAGGGCTGAAAATAATGAGAGAAATGTAGTTATATATATATATGTACTTAACATGTATATATACTGTATAATACATGTCATACATTACATATAATCTGATATAAATATATGTATGTATATATACGGATATCCTTTCATATATACAGATATACTTACTTGCATACTTACATATATATATGTATATATATCCTGTCATTTTCCCAAGTCCAATAGTATGTTTATATATTCCTACAATCTGCTTAAAGACAGCTGAACAAGGGCCTCCCCGGTGGTGCAGCGGTTGAGTGCTGGGTTGAGAAGCTGCCTGCAGCCTCTGCTGCACCGGTTCGATCCCCGGCTGCTCCCCGGCCACCGGAGGAGGGTCCCACATGGCGCGCAGACCTCTCCTGCCGCCCGCTGCTCCCCTCAGCAGTGTACTTTGGTCCTTCTGCCTGCTCTGCTCCCTGCTCTGGCTCTGGTGAATTCTCTCACCCTCCCACGCTTCTGACTGTACCCAGTGCATGTATAAACAAAACAAACAAATAAATAAATAATAAAACATGCCTCTATTAAAAAAAAAAAAAAAAAGACAGCTGAACAAGCCCAATACATTTCATCCCCAGGAATATATAGTTTTGAGTTTATTTATTTATTTATTTAAGTTTTTTTTTTTTTTTTTTAAGATTTATTTATTCATGCATACAAGAACCAGGGTACAGGCCAGATGCGCAGGAGGGTGAGAGGATTCATCAGAGACAAAGCAGGGAATAGAACAGGCAAACTGACTGAAATACACTGCTGTGGGGAGCAGTGGGCGAGACAGGAGAGGTCTGCTTGCCATATGGGATTCTCGCTGGCCGGCCGGGATTGAACCTGTGCTGCAGAGGCTGCGGACAGCTTCACAGCACTATGCTCAACCGCCTGTACCACCAGGGGAGGTCCCAGTTTTGAGTTTATTGACTTCATACTAAAAAAATAGAAATACTCTGATTATCTCTTAGTTCTTATTTAACAGCATGGAGTTTTATAAAACACAATATTACTTTAAGAATGTTTTCTCCCTATAATACTGATTTTCTTTTAGTATTCACCATCACCACAGAAATGTAGCATATAGATGTAGCTTATAGATTTCAGATATCAACTGCTTGTGAAATGAAAGGAATAAGAAAAGGAATAAATATATTTAGAAAATGATCTACACCATAAACTTCATTAATCATATTTTATGTGAAAGGTGACATGTTACCCACGAATGAAGGCTGACAAGAAAGCATTTTAGACTTGCAGGAACTGAAGCTTATTGGGGAAAACTGCATTAAAGATTTTGACTAAGCAACATACGATGATCTGTTATAATTGTACATGACCAATCAGTACTAGTCTCAGGGCTAATTCAACAATGAGCAGACGAGATGCCAGAATTCTGTTAGCTCACAAAATAGAATCAAATCTGATATAAACAGAAAACTCTTCCACACACTGTCCATGCTCCAGCAAATCAGTCACGATGGTGTCCATTTCCACTTTTATTTTTTTTAATGTGCAAAATCCCATTACACTAGTGAACTTGGGTTTTCACAACCAATAATGCTTCGTTGGATGTTGAGATTTATAACCACAGATGAACTCTGGACCTTACCACCCAGACGGCACATTTTGTGAAAGATAACACACCCAGGGCCTATCCCTACAATTTGATTCCAATTACACAACAGAGTTCCCAAATGGTGAGTTAGAGATGAAAGAATTTCTCGTCAGCGTGGAATCTTTTCAGCAGATACAGTAGTGATAGGAATGACTGATATGGAGAGAATGACTTGTTTCTAAAGTTTCTAAAGCAAAGTGTACTTGATATCTCAAGAGCTAAAAATGGGGAGGCTGCCACTTTCAGCGAAATTCCCCAAATCCACAGAAGATATTTAAAAGCAAGAGTATATTCATTAAAATTCATGATCTTTTTTTCCAGGTTAACTACACTCCTGGTTAGACTCACTTTCCAACTCTTATATTTTCTTTTCATTACTTTTGTTTTTACTTGTAATTGACTTTATCATATGATGAATACATTAGATTCTTTGGAAAAGAAGCTTCACATTAACCAATCCTTCAAACAATAGTATAAATGTGGACTTGGCCATTTTAGAGGCATTCATTTTCTTTTGTGTGAATTTTATAGTGTTCTTCTGGAAATTAAGAAAATAACTCATGGAAAATAGAATGGGACTTTTTATTTTTCCACTTTAATTTCAAAGAGATATTGCTATGCTCGGTGTTCAGGGAAATAGGTGTCCTTGTCAGTGACCACAGGGGATACTTACATCGATGTTGTTCAGGGTATTGAAGTGCATCAGATCATGCAGCCTTTTGAATGCTTGATTTGGATATTGAAAGTTAAAAGTTGAAAATGGTGAATCAGGGTCATCAAAAATATCAAAATCTGCTATTTCTTTCTCTTCTTTAGTTTCTCTGGGAACACCTAAGTTTCAGAAGAATCTCAAATGAAGTTATGTTGAAAGCTATAAAATATCTCTAAATTCTAGGGAATGAAATAGATAAATATCCATAAACACAGCATTGGGAGTGCCCCAGGAGTCACATAATCTGCATAGACACTGTTAGGCCTTCATCCAAATTCCCTGGACTTGATAATTTCTGCGTGTTCTGATATGACAACTTCAAATTGCCAGTATCTGCATCTCTGTGCCTATCGGCTTTCTTCAGCTCCCTGCCAGTGCAGAGGGCTGTTTTGCTTACTAGCAACAGGCTGGAAATGCCAGTAAATAATGCTTTTTCCAGGCAACAATCAACCAAAGACTCTATGAAGTTAGTATACAAATATTCAAGAGCAATATACCCTGCGTCTTGCTGTGTGAGTGGGAAGGACAATCTGGACCATGAGAGCTATTCCATTTCCTAGAGTTTCCCAGCAGGGTCAAGTTATTGTGTGGCAGACTCAACACAATCTTTTTGTATGCCCTTTCTTCATTGTTTCCCCACATCCTCATTCAAGTTCCCTCCTTGGGAACTACGTGCACTGGATTTCTTTTCTCAGAATCTGCTTCTGGGAGAACACAAACCACTTTATCTAATTGTCTTCATAAGACTCCTGTACACAGTCTTGTCTTGAGAATTAACAGTGATAGAAAATTCTCTAGATTTCAGTGAATACACTGTTCAATAACTATTGGATTTTCAGAAAAGTCATGACACATTTTTGTTTGAAAAACAGAAAAAATGCTTCGGAAAAAAGTCATGACTTTTCTGACAACCCAATAAAACTGCCAGCCAATTCATCTCTCTTTCTCTGGTTTGAAGTAGGTCTCAGAATAACCTCCATTCCTTCTGATCCTTTCTCTGTCTTTTTCCAGTAAGTAGAAAAAGTCACTTTCCATTCCATAGTCTACTCTCAAAGCTTCTGTAACTAATTTTGTGTCTCTCTTTTCACAATATTTTCTGGTCCTAAAATAATGTGGCTTTTATGCCTTCCGCATCTTGCCTGGCAATCCCTATATCTCCTTCTGGAATACAGAAATGTCTGCAGACTTCTCTGGATGTGGTGAGACAGAACAATTATACCTTGGGCTGGATCCTCTTTTTCTATGAAAAATAACATGGCAATCTTAAATTACTACTTAAATTACTAGCCATGATATGCTGCTAGATTACAGTGATCTATGGTCAGCCAAAATGATTTCTTTTGAAAGGGTTCCATACAAGGGTGAGATTCAAAGATGTAACAATGCCTATGGGGAGGGGACTGATCAATTAAAACAAACGTAAGCTGAGGTTTTGGAGCAAAATTTTAGACATTCTTACTGAGCTAGTTGTTAATCCTTCAATTTCTGGATTTTGAGGAACTCAGAGACTCTTGGGGCATAAAAGAGGGGGGAGTACTTGGGGACTCAGGATAATAGCTATCTATGAAGGTAAGGGAAGCATTCCAAATTGCAACAGCTGGTATAGCAGTGAACCAGCTTAATGTCAGTCTTGCTCCTTTACCAGATTTCTTTATATATATATATAAGTCCCAACATACCTGGAGCCTTGAAATTTCTGAAGTTGATGTTGGCCAGAACAAAATGGATGATAGTTGGGCAATCTTTCTCCACATCAGGATTCTTGGGTTTAAAGACATAGCATTCCTTCAGTCCTTCTCGATCAAACACGTAAGGGTCAATCTTTGGGAAGGGCAGCTTGTTCATTTTAGCCCACTTTTCTGCCAGCAGAAGTTCCTGTGGGAGGCAGAGAAAGATACATTTGGGAATCTTTAGGCTTTTTGCTCAGTTGGTCAGGTCATCATTCACTGTTCATGAGGTAGCTACTACAGGCGAGCAGTGTGCTCCTTGCTAGGACAAAGATCCTGTTTTACAGAAGCTCATCGACGTCAAAAATATTTAAAAGTACTCCATAAACAAACTTGCTATGGAGTTTGATTCTTGGTAGTGGGTTAGCTCATTAGGAAAATTCAAAATCATTGATGAACTCAACCGAATGAAATTATGTTGACATAACTGTTAGAGAAAAATAATTGTTTGGGGCATTTGTAAATCATGTGTTTATTTGCCCTTTGGCGTCCTTTGACTCATCTGATGAAGCAGAAGGGGGAGCAGTTACTGAATTTTTATGTATCTACTCTGCAAAACGAATAAACACTAACACATTTTATGTGTACAAATTTGCGTTACTCTTAATCACTTTTTTTTGGCTTCCATCTATGCAAGGAAGCTGAGTTCCTACCTCAGTGTTGTTAATTTATGTGTAGTGGCCAAGAGTAGGCCGGGCAGAGGCACTAGGAGTGAAGTTAGAGCGTATCCAGATTGTATGACTGTGTCTATATATTAGCCCCTTGTCCATGAGAAGACTCTTACAGAAAACACAAGGACACACTCACAGCAGCTGATCTGCAGCTGCTGACATGAAATGTGACTAAGACATATATATTTGTTGTCAACCATGTTTGCTTGTTTCTGAAGCAAGGCTGACTAGGCAGTGAGTAAGAACACACATAAGCAGTAAATTTAAACGAGAACACAAATTAACACAGAGAGGGGCAATGAAGAGAATGTATTTCTATTTAAATACAGTTAAAAGGGACTGAGACAAATAAGAAACAAATTCTTATGGTGGTAAAAGTATTGCAGCCAGATGCCTGAGTTACACTGTGAGTTCTGACCTTGGGCACATTTCTTAATATCTCCACACTCATATTCTTTAACATAAAATAGGGATGTAATGATATCAATACATATCTCATAAGATTGTTATTATAATTAGCATTTGTAAAGTATTCAGAACTGTCTGTTGCGTAGTATGCACTATGTAATATTTGATAAATAAATGCCAATAGAGAGAAAAAGAGATAGAAGGGCAAGAATGAGGAAAGAAAAGAGGAAAATGGAAGAGAAACAGGAATAGTATTAGGTAAATTTCTGGAGACAGGAGATTTTAGGCAAATAATCATTATAATTTTAACTTTTTAAAAATTAACTTTTATCATCATCACACGGACTCAATTAACAAAAATCCATGATTTATTGTCATTCCGACATAGAGACGTAAAACTCTTGCTGTGGAATGACAGCCTGGTTGGTGAGAGATAGTAATCAAATAATTCTTCAGGCTTAAAACTGTGTTAAATTTTACAGAAAATCATTTATCATTCATGAGATTTTATAGATACCTAGACTATAGCTTCCGAATGGGTATTAATTGATTCAACAAATTTTCCAGAGCACCTGCTATGTTCTGGGCACCTGCTATGCTTAGTCCTTGGAGATGACAATCAGTGGGAAGATTAGTGTGTGTGACAGTGCAGGATGACAGAGGTGAGAATGTGATGTTTGGTTTCAGACTTGGCTTTGCAGTAGGAAAGACCCAGCTCATATATAGACACCCTGTCTTGCCATTGGGCGATAAGAGACAAATTGCTCAGCCCCTACAGCCCAACAGGAAAGGAATTATTTTGTGGGCTGCAGTGTGCAGTGATATTCCCCTAATAGCAACATGGGGGGAGGGAGTGGGGTTACACATAACAACAAGCAAACAGGACCAGAGACTCTCTCTCACACAGCAGGCTCCAATCCCATTGCAGCTGCAATTGACCTTGTTCCTTCTTTCTCAGCAACCACTGTCAGAGAAAGTTAATGCTATTATCTTCCTCTGGATTGCTGTGAGGATTAAATGAAGTAATGTATTTTAAAAAATCCCTCAGTAATGTCAAAGTAAGAAAAGAAGTACTTTGAGAAAACATCTTAAATTTAGAGAAAAATACAGTCTTCATTGAACTTTCACTTTTGGATGCTTTTGAAGTGATGTGGATCTTAAGTGGATCAATTAATGCCATTTACAAAGAAATAATCATTGGGAGAGCAAAGGATATAATGTGTTTCAAACATCTTTCATAAATCATTAAGCTGAATATGTTTATATTTCACTGAATATCTCAACCTATGAATAGCTTCTTGTTTAAAACTTGAGAACACTTTTATCACCAACTCCATCCCATGCCCACCCCCACTTTAGCTGACTTATTCAACTTGCTATTTCTAGTCTAGTACTGTTCACAATTATTCATTCAACATTATTCAACATAAAAACAAACCCAAAAGTTCACCCTGTGAATCAATTACGTGAGAAGAGGGGAAAGAAAGCTTTTCAGTGTTTACAAACATGACTCAAAGGTATGACCAATGATGTGTGGGGCTGTGTGGAGAAAAAGGAAAAGGGAATCACATGAGGTAAAAGATGAAACTATTTTTAGATCGCTATTCTGCTGGAATCAGGAAGCAACGAAAACTTTCCCTTTCCTTCCTTAGACAAATCTGATGTGGAAGACATGAAAAACTGATGACGACAAACAGTGATTACAGGATGGAAAAACCATCTCCTCTTTGATGTCTCACTACTCTGTAAAGACTGGGAAACAAAGACAGACTATGAGTAGCGCACACGAGTTTGAAAGGTCTTTAGAAGAATGTGGTGAGCAAAAATAACAGCTGCGCTCCCGACAAGAGTGACTTGCCAGAGCTGTGTAGAACAGTGTTCCCTTACAACCATCCACTGTGGCTGCTGTTTGACACCTCAGATATTCCACACAGCTATAGACTAATTTATGGCATATTTATATAGCACTAAAACTGAAATGATTTTTCTGTGGAGATAAAAAATTTCCAGCATCCTTCCAAGGGATACTTTGTAAGATGTTTGCATTCATTTTTGAGTACTAAAATATCTTTTTAGTATAATTGACATATTACATTAGAGGCATCCTTCCAAGGGATACTTTGTAAGATGTTTGCATTCATTTTTGAGTACTAAAATATCTTTTTAGTATAATTGACATATTACATTAGAGGCATAATTGACATATTACATTAGCTTCAAGTGAGCACTATAAGAATTTAATATTTGTATTAAATGGTCACTGCATCTCTGTCACCAAATGTAGTTATATTTTTTGCTTATTTTGAGAAATTTTAAGACCAAGTATTATTAACATAGTTAATAATAAGCATAGTGACTATATGCACATAACCAGTTATGACTATAAGCATAGTCACCCATGCTGTACCTTATTACAAAAACATCCGGAAGAAGAGGAAAATCCATTAAATGGCATAGGAATACTGATATATTCAAACTACAGTGATGAATAGTATGTATATGCCATTTTATTTATTTACACATGCAGATAAATACATATATTTAAATATATAATATGCAAACATACATTTAAACATATAAATCCATCTATCTTTATATGTATTATAAATTAGCTTTTCTCTAGAGTAAAAAAGTTTTTTGTCTACACAAACTTAAGATATGTGCCTTCTAAGATGTTTCTTATTTTTGTAGATCTATTTTTAGATTGAAGAGAGGGATGGAGGACAAGTATTAAGTTAATTTATAGAATCTTAAAAAACATTATTGAAGTGGCAATGGCTAGAACATACAATGTAGAATTCATTGTTTTGTAGTTACGGTCACTCTCACTTCCAATAAAAAGCATGTTGGCATTAGTTAGGATCCAAGAGCTTGACAATACAGTGGGTATGAAAATAATGTTTTCCATCTAATAGTGCATAGAATTCACACAGAACTTTACAATTCTTCTTCTTCACTAATAGTTTACTATACACTCACAAATTATATAAGAAATTAACACTGGGTACATCTACTCATTCTGAGACATCTGGCTCCCTCTCAGTGACCAATATAGGTGTAATGGGTTGAATGGTGGCCCTTTCAAAAGTAAGACCATGCCCTATTGCGCCCTGTGCCCCTCTAAGAATTATATACGTGCACTTATTTGGAAAACGAGTTTTTGCAAATGTAATTAGGTTAAGAGTCTGGAGATGAGATTATTGTGATTATCTGGGTAAATTATAAATGCAATGACAAATGTCATTATAAGAGACAAACAAGAAGTCACACCCACAGAGAAAATCACATGAATGAAGGCTGAGAGTGGAGCTAAGCAGCCACACATCAAGGAAATTCTGAAACTACCAGAAATTGGAAAAGGTAGAAAAGGCTCCTCCAGTGGAACCTTTGGAGAGAGTGCAGCTCAGAGGACATCTTGATTCTGGCTGTCAGAAGTGTCAGAGAACATGTTTGTACTGTTTGTAGCCACTATGATTGCAGTAATTTGTTAAGGTAGCTCCAGGAAACTGATACAAGAAGTAAGTGTATAAATGCTGCAGTAATAACACGCATTTCAGCTGCCATGGTGGATCGATGCCTGTGGAGCTATCAGTTGAACTGGTTTGACCATGATGGTGTCAACCAACCTAAGAATTAAAAGGAAGTCATATGTGGAGCTTCTAAAACAGGGATTGCACTCTAATGTCAACTAATAAATCAGGTTCGTGTGAAAAAACACAGATTCTTTTTCCGTTTTTTGTGGGTTTAAATGGAATTTTGACCTTGAGTAAACTACAGGGTGATAAAGTTAATTTAAATACATTACTTCTATCATTTTTTTTCCTTCATCTTTCTTCCTTCTCTCCTTCCATCATTGCTTCCTCTCCTTTTCTCCTTTTTTCCTTTCATTTTTAAGAGAATGAATCCATTGTTCTGGATTTTGGTTACTATGTGTTTAAAAGAGCACTGAAAAACTGATCTCTTCTTAGGTCAACATGTTGCAACATGATATAAAATAACATAATTTATAGCATAGTAACTGGAATCTATTATTCTCCATAAGATTCTTAAGGCAAAGGAAAAAAAATAGTCTCCAGTAATAAACTGTGAATTCTTCTATAATCCTTGCTTGCTTCTTAAAATATCCAAAGCTTTCCTTCCCAAAATTCATAATCTGCTCATTTTGCAGATTTTTATATGAAAATCTTGGCCTATTTTCATGAACAACTTTAAAGACAAATGCTATTAGAATTTTGGGTTGGACCATAATGGTTAACTAATTTTGCTTGGCATCTGTCTAAGTTATTACAAGGTTAACAAAACATGAAACATGGAATTGCTTTTATTAAATCAAATAATATTATTTAGAATCATGAGATTCTATATCTGGAGTAACATTTGGGTGTGCATCTACAAACCAAAAAAAAAAAAAAAAAATAAACCAAAACAAAGACCCAGTATTGACATCATCAAATTTCAAGGCTAGTTTGAGCATATTGTGATACAAACTGTAGCTGCCTTTATCAAAAGCCATAATTCCTATCATTCTATATATCCCTGACAAAATATGAGCTGTAACTACACATGTGAAATACTAAAATTATCAAAAATTCTACAATAAAGTTGTATAATAAAGTTATAACAAAATTGTATAATAAAGTTAATAGTCCTAATTTCTAACCCAGCATTTATGCTTTATTTTTTTATTATACATCATTTATATTTTAGCCAAAAATAGAAAATTATTTACTATTTAATCAACTTAGTGAAATAATATTTCATATATCTACTAATTACCTTGGAACATCTTTTCTATAAAAATCTTCATGTAGACTCCTCATCAGTTTTTTTTAAAGATTTATTTTTTTTATTTATGCATACAAGAACTGGGGTACAGGCCAGAGGTGTGGGGGGTGAGAGGATTCACTAGAAACAGAGTGGGGAACAGGACAGACAGACTGACTGAAATACACTGCTGAGGGGAGCAGCAGGTGAGACAGGAGAGGTTTGCTCGCCATATGGAGTTCCTTCCTGGCCGGGGATCAAACTCATGCTGCACAACTCATACGTTGTGTCTTAACCCCTTGTGCCACCAGGGAGGCCCCACCTCCTCATCAATTTTTAAATCTTACTACATTATACCTAAAATAAGTATACTACTTCAGTATTAATGGAATAATTTTAAAATATCAATTCAGAAATTATATTTGAGTAATCTTTTAGATCCATATAGGGATGTACACCATTACAACAACATAAAACCATAAAAAAGCTCACTTCAGTTTTCCAAGTTAGCCTGAAAAGTTCATTTTGTTCGCTTTGAATTTCCTGAAATTCACATTTAGAGGACAAAATACATATTATATGTAAACATTGAAATTTCCTTTATATTAAGTCTCTGAAAATACAGTTCACTACTTTCTGAGTGACAGATTTTATTCTATACTAAACCAATAATAAAAGGATATAAGTACATTTAGGGGACGGGGGAGAATGGAAGAAATGGACAAAATAATTCTAAAGCTCTGATTCATATATAACATGATGACTTTGATATTTTATACTCCCACTCCCATTGGTAAAATGAATAATACAGTTTCTTTCACCACTAGAATCAATTGCTAAGCTATCATCTTAGAGTCATCCATTAAAATTCATCTCCCAGGCCTCCCCGGTGGCGCAGTAGGTTGAGCGCAGCGCTGTCAAGCTGTCCGCAGCCTCTGCAGCGCCGGTTGGATTCCTGGCCGGCCAGGGAGATACTCACATGGTGTGGCAGACACTCCTGTCTCACCAGGTCTGCCTGTTCTGTTCCCTGCTCTGTCTCTGGTGAATCCTCTCACCCTCCTGTGTCTCTGGCCTATTCCCCAGTTCTTGTATAAATAAATAAATCTTTAAAAAAAAGAAAATAAAATTCACCTCCCATTGCAGCTTGTGGCTCATCAAATCCTGCTCTTGTCAGTCACCTACCTGGCATTGAATTTTACTGTGTTATGCTTAGATTTCAGTAAACCCCTCTAATTTTAATCTTGCCCTCCATTCTCCAATTCATCCAACTTTCCATTGTCAGATTAATCATCCTAAAATTCCAATTTCATGAAGTCACCTGTCTGCTGGAAATCCTTCATTGATCTCTATCCTCTCCACCCTATTGATCTTGCTCTTGTCCAGTTCACCAGTCTTCCTTGTAGTTAATTATCTCCAGTTGGTTTTTGTGACACTCTATACTCCCTTAGTTTTTTTCTCCTTTTTTCCTGATAATATTGTTGAATATTCAAGGTACTGTTTTATGTCTTTCTCTTCTAATAGTATGTCCTCTCCAGGCAGGGTTTTAATTATCTTTGACCTGCTAAATCCCAAATCTATTTCAAATCTATTTTCCTTCCTGAACTTCAGATACATTGTATCACCCTTGTCTTTTCAGGAACTTTAATGCGCCTCATAGGGACTCATTTAAAAACTTCTTTAAATACATCTGCAGGGCCTCCCCAGTGGGGCAGTGGGTTGAGCACAGTGCTGTGAAGCTGTCCACAGTCTCTGCAGTGCAGGTTCGATTCCCAGCCAGCCAGGGAGATACCCACATGGCACGGCAGACCTCTCCTGCCTTGCCCTCTGCTCCCTTCAGGAGTGTTTTCGGTCCATCTGCCTGTTCTGCTCCCCACTTTGTCTCTGGTGAATTTTCTCACCCTCCCGCACCTCTGGCCTGTACCCCAGTTCTTGTATAAATAAATAAATCTTTTTAAAAAATAAATAAATATGTCTTCAAGGAAGAAATACAAATGGCCAACAAGCTTATGAAAAAAATGTTCAATTGCACTCATTATTAGAAACTACAAATCAAAATCACAATGAAATATCACCTCACACCAGTGAGAATGGCCAATATTAAAAAAAAGAAAGAAAGAAAGAAAACTGGGCCTCCCTGGTGGCGTAGCAGTTGAGCACTGGGTTGCGAAGCTGCCCGCAGCCTCTGCAGCGCTGGTTCGATCCCCGGCTGCTCCCCAGCCACCGGAGAAGGGTCCCACATGGCGCGCAGACCTCTCCTGCCGCCCGCTGCTCCCCTCAGCAGTGTACTTTGTCAGTCTGCCTGCTCTGCTCCCTGCTCGGCTCTGGTGAATTCTCTCACCCTCCCTCGCTTCTGACTATACCCAGTGCTTGTATAAATAAATCTTTAAAAAAAAATGGCAATAACAAATGTTGGCGAGGATGTGGAGAAAAAGGAATTCTCCTACACTGCTGGTGGGAATGAAAACTGGTCCAACAACTATGGAGAGCTGTGTGGAGGTTCCTCAAATTACTGAAAATGGAACTGCCATATGACCCAGCAATTCCACTCCTAGAAATTTACCCAAAGGACACAAAACCATTAAAAGCAAACCCGCATGCCTATGTTTACTGCAGCACTATTAACAACAGCTAAAATATGGAAACAATCTAAATGTCCCAAAACAAGAATGGATCAAGAAGATGTGGTGTATGTGTGTGTGTGTGTGTGTGTATACACACACACATACATATAATAGAATACTTCTCAGTGATCAAAAACGATAAACTCATGCCACTTTCAGCAACATGGGTGGAGCTGGAAGGAATTATGCTCCATGAAATAAGTCAGAAGGAAAAAGAAAAATATCAGATGGTTTCACTTACAGATGGAATATAGGGGAACCAAATAAGACATCAGGAAAAAAGACAAAAATTGCATAAAGACAAAACTGACCATAGACATGAGGCTTAAAGTAGGGAAAAGGGAAGAAGACGGGTCACATGGGAGGTAAGAGCACAAGGGACTGTGGTGATGGATCATGGGTGCTATGGTGTTAGAAGAACTACAGGGACAATAACTGAGGGAAGAAACCAATTACTGTACAAAAATGAGCAACTATATAAGGAAATGAATTTAATGATATAAAAAGAAAAACTTCTTTAATTACATGATTGAGCCATATCAGTGTGTTAGGAATATTATTCATAATAATATTAAAAAAAGGTAAAAATGGTAAGAAATTGGGGTCATGAGAACTAGGATATCTACAAGGGATGCCAAAGAAGGCAGTGGGTAATAGAATGCTACATCACTTCTCTTTACCTTAAATGGAGGACTAGTGTCACTTGGCCTTGCAGAAAAGTCAAAGGAGATGATGAGGTCCACTCCTCTCTGAGGTCTCAGGATCAAAGGGTATGGTAGGTTAAATGTGAGGCCACTGTCCACGACGTGAATCTTTTTACTTTTGACATCCAGAGGCTCATATATCTGCTCAAATTCATCAGGATCTTTAGAGAAGAAAGAAAAGAATGAATCAAACAATCATCTAACATTGTTTAGAACATGAAAATATTTTTGATGTCAAGTTGTGAGACTGAATTCCATAGGGTTAGATCCTCAGATTTATAAGACAAACAGAGCTGGGTATGAGTCCTGCTTTGAAAGTTGTAAGTAAATGACTGTCTTTTAATCTTAGTTTCTTCACCTGTATGTCAGGGTAACTGAATCAATTAGAGAAGGCTGCTCTGAGGATTAAGTGGATGGTGCATGACCAGATTAGGTCCTGGCATTAACTATAACTGTGCATCCCAACTCTTTTGCTAGCATTACCTCGCCTATCATAGGTCTTTGCTGGCTTAAAAACATTTCCTCATATGTTATCTTTTTAAGTCTTATAACAGACACGTGATGTAGAAGAGATCTATAAATGGTGGATGAAGTCAGTTAAAAGTCATCTCTGCAATTACACATTTGGTGAGTGGCAGAGTTTGCAAGCATCACACACTGTCTCTCTCGTGGTTGGTGTGCATCCAACACAAGGCTGGTGTTTGAAGAAAATAATCCAGCCAACACATTGGGTGTGCATTCATTATCTACTCCTACTCCTCAGGCTCTATTCTAGGTATTGAACAAGACAGCTACAAACTCTGCTATGACAAAACTTACATTCTGAGTATACTGCCTAGAAGTCAGGAACTAAATATATGAAAAGATAGTTCAGGCAGCGAGAAATGCATTGAAGAAAATAACAGAGAGTGTACATGGTCATGGGGAGAATTTGTTGAGAAAGAGACCTTGAGGTAAGACTAGAATAATATGGAACTGGAAATCTAAAGATTTTGGGGGTATTTTTTTTCTTGGAAGAGAAGAGAACTGGAACAATGGCCTAAGATGGAATAAGGTATGTTTGAGGAACAAGAAGGTGAGTAGAAGCAGATGCCAAAGGGTCTGAAGGAAAACAGGACTTGGAGATGATTAAGTTCATGAAAAAATAATATTGATAACATGAAGTTCTTCGTATTTATGTGTGATGCTCCTAACTCACTTCCCAGGGAAAAGAAATGTGATCAGAATTGAATTTGAGTTGAATGAAATGATATGCAATTGCTGCGTTCTGGCCCTTTGTTCCCACATTGGTTTCCCTTGTCCTATTGGGAAGAAGATGGGCAATGTGAAGCAGGAGGTCTGGCAGAGTAGAGCAGCATGAAGGTGTTGACACTAAATAAACACTGTGATCTTTGAATAAGCTATTACACCCATTCTGCAAGCATTTTCATAGATGAATCAACAAAATCTAGAGGGTCAGACCAACCCATATTTATAGCATCACTTATAAAATATAGCTATTAACCATCTCATGGAACTGTTGTGAACGTTAGATAAAAAGAATCATTGAAATATTCAGGAAAATAGAGGTGGCCAGAATCCAGTCCATGTTAGTTTACTCCCTATAGTTCTTAATAAAGTGATACTGACTCTAATTATTTTATTTTAAATCTTTTTTTAAATTAATTAATTTATTTATACAAGAACCGGGGTACAGGCCAGATGTGTGGGAGGGTGAGAGGATTCACCAGAGATAGAACGGGGAACAGAACAGGGAGACTGACAAAATACACTGTTGAGGGGAGCAATGGGCGAGAGAGGAGAGATATGTTTTGCCATGTGGGACCTTGGCGGGCGGGCCAGGATCAGGCCGGCCAGGATCGAACCAGCGCTGAGGAGGCTGTGGACAGCTTCACAGTGCTGCGCTCAACTGCCTGCGCCACCAGGGGAGGCCCACTCTAATTATTTTAGCTAATATTACTTATTATATTTTGAGAGCAAGAGATCAAAAATGAAGGCAAGTTTTTAAATTCTTACTGACAATTAAATCCACAATCTTCATCAACAATAAAAGCTGAAATTAAAACACTAATGAACAAAGTAGCCATGAAATTTAATCAATGTGAATTGAAACAGTTGTTAAATTAGACCTTGATTGTTACTTAGGAGATACTAATGTACCTCTAAGTATCTAGAGTGAACAGAAAAACATGTGTTTTCTTTTCTCAAGTCTATTAAAAATTTCCATCTCTAAAACACAGAATAAGAATGTTATAAAGATTTACTAATGTTTATGACTAGGGAAGGAAAGAGTTTACAGCTGAGGGAGTTTATATTGCCCAGAAAAGCTGAAGGAAAGAGGAGTGAATGAATGTCCTAAATAAAAAACACATTTGCTACCAAAAAAGAAAAAGAAAAAAAAAAAAGAAAAAAAAGAAAGCAAGCAAGCTATGGGGGAGAGGGAGCAATAAATAAGAATAAGGTCATGACTGAATAAAAAGGTGGGCCAAGTTAAAGAAAAAAAAAAAACAAGTCATATTATATTCAAGGTGAGTACTTAGGTCAATAAGGAGAGAGGAGATAAACAGTCATCTTCAGCTAATTCTCTTTCTTATCAATATCAATTAATAATAATAATTATTCAGTAATAATGTACTTTGCCACCAGCCAAGATTCTAAATTTCTATCACAGAAACTGAAGTCTGATAATTGGCAAATTGAAAGATGTATATTATTAAACCCAATTTTAATGTTTATTCCCTTGAAATTTTAAGTGTTTAGAAATTGCATGTGAATTTTTTTCCCACATGTGTGAACTTCTTAAAGGTGAAAAATTATAAGTCTGTCTTATGTCATGTTTTAAATATTTTACTAAGAAGCTGGAAATTCATTATTGAGTACTTTTATTTCTCCTACAAGAAGTTTTATTTATTTTTGAGTACCTGTGATACACTAAAATTTCACATGTAAGTTTTTTAGCCTTATTTTTTTTTACAGATTTATTTATTTATGCATACAAGAACTGGGGTACAGGCCAGAGGTGTGTGGGGTGAGAGGATTCACCAGAGACAGAGTAAGGAACAGAACAGGCAGATTGACTGAAGTACACTGCTGAGGTGAGCAGCGGGTGAGTCAGCAGAGGTCTCCTGAGCCATGTGGGTAGCTCTGTGGCCAGGAATTGAACTCATGCTGCAGTAGTTGCAGACAGCTTCATAGGTTGTGTCTTAACCCCCTTGTGTCACCAGGGAGGCCCAGATTTTTTATCCTTATAAGACCCTTACAAAGGAAGTGTCATTAGTTTCATATTAAAGATGTGAAAGTCCCAAGATGTCTACTTTCACATTGATGGTGAGAATCAAGATTCCAAGCCAGGCTGACAAAGTCTAAATTCTATGCAGGTCGTGACACTGTCACTTTAGAAAGTGGCATGGCCATAAAACTAAAAGCCTTTAAAGTGGATACTTTAAAAAGCAATAGCTACAATGTATATCTACACATGCATGTAGTAATCATTAACCTATGTTAATATTTATATTTGATCACAATTAAATATGAAGAATTAAAAACATGTCAACAGGTTTTTTTTAAAAGCCATGATTTCCCCTAATATAAGCAACTATAATAACTCACAAATATTTTTCTTTGGTTTCATAAAATTAGTGCTTTTTAAAATCTTTGCTAAAAGACTAACGCAGACCAATTATCTCATATTTGATGTGATTAGCCCCTTTTCATCATGAAACTGCTAGTCTACTTATTTCCTCTTATAAATTCAAGATTACATTTGAGAGAAAAATCACTATCTGGTACAATTCCCTGCTCTGGCATGTATCCGGACACCACAGTTCCAATCTTCTAGATATATTGACAGGAGGTGGTCTTGCTAAACTTTCTTGCAAAGGACATAGTTTTGCAAGATCAGTAGATGTTCTATACGTAAAATCTATGATCAAATACGTTTGAGAAGTACAAGACTCAATAGCTTAAAGTAACACCCAATTATGTTATGTGTTCCTATTCTCATCACAATTCCTGTATCAATAGCACTTTTTAATGAAGATGTTACTTGGTCCTCACACTACCTCTGTAGCATATGTACCACTGTTATTTCTGTTTTATAAGTAAACCCAAGCTTATGCAAAGCAATGGCTTAACATTGTCCAGCTAATAAATATCATTTGGGATCAAATGTAAGCCAGTCTCCTTTGAAAACACTATACTCAAGTCATATTTAAGTAGGATTTCTCATAATCATAGTAGCCCATTACATGTAAAGAGGGGGTGGAATTGTTAGTTTTTCCTAATTTATTTGAACCTGATCCTGACTTTTTGTATAACGTACAAATATGTCATGTGGAGAGTTTGATAAATGCAATTATGGAAGAATATTCTCCCATAACTTAAAGCATACATGGCTTCCAAACTTGTGAACAAGTTGATTGTATAGAGATATGCTAGTTTTTAATTATGTAAGACTTCTTTAAAGCAGTTCAGCTGGGGATATTTGTGATGGCCATTTTATAAACACATCACACAGATTCAGTTTACAAATTTATAAATATTTGATGTCTGTATTTTGAACTCTGACTTAAATTAAGACATCTCTTCAATTCTTATTCCAGCTGGTGTGTATCTCAGTAAATTACATAAGCACAAAAGTAAACAGGAAAGAAGGCACATGGCTAGTGGACAGATTCTCCAGCTATACAACTATTCAAAAATAAACAAATGAGGGGAATTTCTTCATCTCATCAGTTCTCTTGTTTTTAAAAGATCGTCTGCAAAGGAAAGTAACAGACACAAAGGTAGCACACAAATTTTTTCATGTTAGGTTGAGGGATTGTTCTATAAATTCTAAGATGCTCAATTTTTAATTTGTATATATAAAATTATCACAGTATAAACTAAAATGCAAGATTTTAATAATATAATATCTAGATTAGAAATATTTTTTCTGCATGGGGGAGATAAAAATATAATAGCAACCTTAATGAATGTTTTAATCAAATTATGGTATTTTGCATATATAGTAACTATATTTAAATGGAGATTTTATGAACCAAATGATTAGGGTTTATAACAAACCTTTTAACTTTTCATTCCACACACAATTATTGCAAAATTGGAAATAACCAGAAGATGATAAAAAGGAACTAACTTAATAAAGACCTTGCCTGAGAAGCACTAATTTAACTCAATAAATTCAGTCTATAATAGTCATTTTTAGTGATGTTGATCTGTCAACAATAAATTTGAAACAAACTCATCACTGACCTATGAATTTTGATTAAAAAAACCCAACACACTATACTATAAACAATTTTCAATTAGATAAATACAAAAGTTGGGTGAAAAGAATTTTAATAAGATACACACTAAAGAATGAAACTTAAAGTTGCTTGCAAAGATGATTAATTTAACAAAATTTAAGGTGAAAAATTAGAAAATATCTCAAAAAAAGAAATATTTAGTGTCTATAATACCATATTTTTGGATAATTAATATTTTGTATTTCCTAGTATTACTTTATGAAAACTCTTTGACTCTTCTTTCCAAAAGCACCAAATAAACAAGTCAGATAAGGTAATGTATAACTATTATTCTCCAAACACAACACAGAGGGCAAGGGAGATATACATTTGAACTGACTTACAGTTTCATCAAATCAGGTATTTTGGTTTTTAGTATTTTTGCTTACTAAGATATATCAGAGTTTTCCTTCATGAATCTAAAAGTTTTTAATTTTATGACAGTAAGGATTACCTCTATCTTTGCGGGACCCCTAGAACCAAGTAATTCTGTAAATACTATGTGAATTCAAGAATGAGCGTAGGAAACAAGAAAAATGAGAATGCAGAACAATTTGAAAAAAGGTGAGGATAAAGATTATCAACTTTATCCCATAAAAAATACTGGGTGGGAGCACAAGGAACTAAGGTGATGATGCGCAGGTGAATTGGTGGTGGAAATTTTATGGGGACTACACCTGATCTAAAATACATCCAAATAAATTAATTATAAAAAAATACAGGGTGCCCAGTTAAATGTAAATTTCAGAAAAACAACTTTTTAGCACAAATATGTCCCAAATGTTGCAAGATTCATATTTACAATATATACCCTGTATATAAATATGTGTGTGTGTATATATATATCTTTACACATATATATGTACATATAAGATGTTTTTTGAAATTCAAATTTAACTGAGCAACCAGTACTTTACTAAGTGATGATAACACCTCTGAATCTATATAAAATATTGCAAAACTACCAGGAAGTTGTTAAAATATGGAGCACAGAATACAGACTGCGTAAACCACAGAAGGTTCTGTGTTGGGTGATGTCATCAAAGTAATAATCTAAAACAGATGTAATAAAGTACACACAAAGGAAACTTCCAATTTTACATCAGTAAGACAATGACTAATCAAATAAAGGACTACACAGATGAGCGTGTAAACAGAAGGGAAAGGCTTCTGGGCAGTAGAGAGGCCTGTGTCCTAATGCTAACTCAGTTGAGCAATTTTAGCAAAGATGATTAACTATTTTCCTTGATCATCCTTTTCAATGGAGTAAAAGAACTGAAGACTTTTTCTACCTCTAAATGCCAAGTCTGAGTTTATTTAAAAAGACTATCATCATTCATTCACAAATACAAGCTTCTAAGAGACACATTTACTTGATATTGCAACAGCAGTAAGTATAATCATGCATCACAAAATAAGACAATGACATGGCCGATTACATGATGAAGTGCTTTCCAATTTTTGGATGAATTTTAAAATACACATTGATTTTTATCACAAATAGACTTTTATTACAGTTATTGTAAAAAGATTTGGGTTGCAGATATGTAATCAGTTCTGCATCCTAGCCTAGACTTTGATGCCATAAATATACAAAATAGTGAGTTTCTGTTCCTTCTATTTAAACAGCAGGGGTAGGGGCCTCCCTGGTGGCCTAGGGGTTGAATCTCAGTACAATCATCACTATGGTCTGAATTCCATGCCAGGCCAGGGAGCTAAGTCACATGGGGCAGCAGACCTCTTCTGTCACACCTGCTGTTGCCCTCAGCAGTGTATTTCAGTAGATCTACCTATTCTGCTCCTCACTCTGTCTCTGGTGAATCCTCTTACTCCCCACCTCTGGATACACCCCAGTTCTTTTATGAAGAAAAAAAAAGAAAAAAATTAAATTAAAAAAATAAAATCTTAAAATAAACAACAAGGGTAACGTAATGTTTTTGCAATATCCCTTAAGTTCAAACAACAAATAGAAACACCACCACCAGGGCCTCCCTGGTGGCACAGGTGGTTGAGTGTAGTGCTGTGAAGCTGTCCCCAGCCTCTGCAGCATGGGTTTGATCCTGGCCCGCCAGGGAGATAACCACATGGTGGGGCAGACCTCTCCTGTCTCGCCTGCTGCTCACCTCAGCAGTGTATTTCAGTCAGTCTGCCTGTTCTGTTCCCCACTCTGTCTCTGGTGAATCCTCTCGCCCTCCCGCACATCTGGCCTGTACCCCAGTTCTTGTATGCATGAATAAATAAATCTTAAAACACCACCACCACCAAAGCAACAATATAATATAAAGTCACATCCTAATTTTCATGACTTCATACAAAAAATACAAAAATATTTTGTAATTATGATTTTTAAAGAATAGCAGAAAAACTTTTGGTAAAATTCCCACTTAAGTTTTTGTAGTATCCTGTCAATGTTTGTAGGCAAAACTAACTGAGAAATGACGTTTGGGCAGTTAAGGGAAAAATGATGGTATGATGAAGTAGAAAAATTTTAGATATGTTAATAATCAGAACAAGTATTGCCTACTAAGTAGTCACCAAAGCAAAGTTAACTTTTGATTTGGGGACTCCATGGAAGTGAAGAATAAAGAGGACTGTTTTTGGGAATTTGGGTAGGGCACAAATGTGAAAATGAGTAGGTTCTTACCATGTGACCTTGAGGAAGTCATCTAACCTTTCTGAACCTGTGGGACAGATCTGAAGGACACTGTAGACTGGCGAGCTCAACTCCGCTCCAGCCCCTATGCTGCATGCATTACTGCCCAGGAGTGGGCTAAAAGCCACGGTATCAGACTCCCTTACAGCTCTGATCTGCTGAGACATGTTCCTTGCCAGGGAGAAACGCCCTTGTGAGATGTGAACGGGGAAATGAAACAGGTTATGTTTCTGCTCTTCTACAGCCAAGCACAGTGATGGGATGTTTCTGAAGTGTTGGAGTCATTCCTGTACACTCAGTGTGAAGCCTGCTCCTCCAGCCTTGGAACAATTTTGTAAGAACCTAATTGTCTACTTTAAATCCCTTTCAGTTAAACATGGTAGAGAGTTTCCTGTTTTCTGAGAGTGGCCCTTGACCCACAGAGAAGATCTAAGGACTCTCTCATTATGTCCTGCTGACCATTTCCTGTGCCGTGGACTGTATTTCTTCCCCAAACCAGTAATTCAAAACCCTGGACACATTAACTGCACGTTGGTGTAGTTGAATATAAATGAGTAAATCATGACAATAGTGATAATGTCTCTCTCTACCAATGGACTATTAGCTGCCATGGATTATATTTTATGTACTTACCTGCCACAGCGGCATCCAACTCATCTTCATCCAGTGATTCTTGTGTGGCAAAGTCTCGGAAAGGAGACAGTGGGTAGGAGGTATTGAGATTCAAGCCCAACATGAAGTTGTGCACCTTCCCAGCACGTCCTTCTCTGGTATTGAATAAAGTTGAATCACTCACCAAGGCCATTAACATACGATGGACCCAACTTGCTTGATTATCATTTTGATATTCTCTTTCTGCTTCTTCATTTTCAGTGCCTAAGGAAAAAAGAAAGATCATGATATGGATTCTCATATCCACTTTTCTCTTTAAAAAAATGTTCTTTGGGAACCTCCCTGGTGGTGCAGGGGTTAAAGACAGCTCTATCAAGCTATCACCAGCCACTGCAGCACAAGTTCGATCCTGGGTCTACCAGGGAGCTACCCACATGGCACAGTAGACCTCTCCTGTCTCACCTGAAGCTCCCCTCAGCAGTGTATTTCAGTAGTTCTGCTTGTTCTGCTCCCCACTCTCTGCGGTGACTCCTAACCCCCCACAGCTCTGGCTTACACCCCAGTTCCTGTATGCATAAATATTTTTTTAAAAGATGTTATTTGGACAATTGAGTATTAAAATGAACCATGAAGTTCTGTGACTTTTGATCTCACAAACACCTATTGTTGTAAACTAACAGAACACAGGCTTCCCTGGTGGTGCAGCGGGTTGAGCACCACGCTTTGAAGCTGTCTGCAGTCTCTGCAGTGCGGGTTCGATACCCGGCCGGCCAGGGAGAAATCCACATGGCGTGGCAGACCTCTCCTGCCTCGCCCGCTGCTCCCCTCAGCAGTGGTCCGTCTGACTGTTCTGCTCTCTGCTCTGTCTCTGGTGAATTCTCTCACCTTCCTGCAACTCTGACTGTACCCCAGTTCTTATATAAATAAAAATAAATCTTAACAAAAAATAAGCTAACAAATATTTCAGTTAATCATGTTTTGTTCTTAAATTGTTCTCACTTTACCTTTTATTGAGGGTGTGCTAAAGAGTTGTTTTTATTTTAAGTTGTAAATGGATATACCTTTTCTTGGCAGTGGCATTTGGCTTATTCTTAAATTTCAACTTAAACTTCTTAGACATAAGACAAAAACAACTAATATAGGTGATCAAATGTACTGATAACCTATAGCAATTAACTTAATAATTTACAGACCATTCTCACGCCTACTTGATAGTCCCTAAACCAATACATACTTAATTCTAGAAATGTCAGGTATATGCTGTCTAGCTCCTTTGTACTGACTAACTTCTTTTGTTGGAGCAAGACAGGATTAAACTAAATTAAATAAGCAAGAAGGAGAAAAATAAATACCAGATGTTGTCACTTATATGTGGAACAAAGAGAAAGCAAGGAAAAGATCAGACAAAGACAAACTTTAGAATCAGCCATTGAAAGCTGACCATAGATCTGAGTCATCCAGGAGGGATGGGGTTTGGGGAGCAGAGAGCACCAGGGACTATGGTGGAGGACTGTTGGTTCTTTGGTGATGGGAGAGCTACATTGACCTCCTGAGAGGAGAAATCCTATATTGTTGAAATATTAGCAAGGATGTAAAACAGTGGTACTTCGTTAAAAAAAAAAAAAGAGGAAGTATTTTGAAAAAACAAAGGGTACTGCAATGGAAAAAAAAAGACATTTGAAATAAAAAAGACTTAAGCAACTAAACTAATTTAAATGTAAATTATGAAGGAGCCATAATTAAGGCTCGCTTCCCTCCAGGGTAGGGCTATTTTGGGGTTCCCACCTAAGGATCAGGGGCTACTGTGTCTAATGAGGCAAATCACTGTTTGCATAATGCAACAGCAGTGTGATAGGCTAATGGGGACTCAAATTCAGATCACCCCTACTGGGCATGTCTGGTGTTGGGTTGAGAGCTCTGCCTAGGGGTGGATTTCCTTTTTGAAAACTTTCACAGGTGGTTGCACACTGTCAAGCTGCATTTCCCAGGGAAGATGCTTTTTTCTAATTTACCAAAACTCAAGAAGAAGTAGCAGACCAGCTATGAGAAAAGAATTTCAATTTCAGAAATAATTTGGCAAGGATAAAGTGGTCTTTTCCAGTATCTATACCATGGCTGGTGAAATTTGTTAAGTTTTGGACAAGAAAACATTTAATATCTTCTTAGCTCTAGATGATCAGATCTAAAATAATATAATAGGACATGTTCAACTATTTGTTATAAAATCTCTATTTTAAATAGTGGGAACACTTGTAGAAATGGCTGTGTCAAATATACTTTGTACACTCCATTTTACCACATAACATGTACAACAAATATCCCAGATCTTGGCTTACCCTCCCCTGACTCCATCACTGACTGTCTCCAGCCACACCAAGATGAAAACTGCCTTGCCAAAATGTAGAAGGACCCATCTAGCCTGCAAAGTAATATATGCAACAAAATTCTGGGTAATTCTACCCATTTTCATCATTGTCCCCTTCCTAAGAGGTGGAGTGTTGGCAATGGGATAAGTCTCAGGAACGGAGCTAGAAATCACATGTAATTTAATAATAAAATTTCAATTTTTAAAGTCACATAAAAATGTTCCTGAATCATGATTTCATGCCAAGAAGTCTGTTGCTCTAAATAAGACTGCAAATGAATTTAGAATTTCTACCATTTCATTTGCTCAACTGGTAATACTTTTGAGATATTAAAAAGAAAAGAATAAGGGATGTCTTTGTGCTGCATATTTTATTGCATATACAGCACTTGATTCTTTGAGTAAGAAGTTACAATTCTATCATTTTGGTGCCTGAGCAAACCATGAACCATTAGCATCTTCAGTAAGAAAATTGGATATAATGAGTCAGATCTTCTCTGAAGGGACTTCTGCTAGACAAGGTCTTGGCTCTCTGACTTACCTTTGGGTTCATGTGATTCATCATCGCTGTCTGAGCTATCATTACTCACAATATGTTTTGCAGTAATATTTTCTGTGGAAAGAAAAAAAATCAGTTGAAGGATCTCAGGTGTCAATAGTCACAATTAAATTTACTGTAAGGAAGTAATCTGAGCCAAAAATCACAGAGTGAGGTCCACCAGACTTGAGTGGAAAGTTAGATCAATTTAGTAAATTTAGACTTATTAGAATACTAGTTTTTTTTTTCAAATTTCTCAATGAAGAAAATTTTCTTGAACATGAAATATTAGGCTAAAATTTAATCATTCATATATATAAAGGAGAGAAATCTTGTTTATCTTAATTCCGATAAAAGTAACTTGACTGGGGGCCTCCCCAAGTGAAGGGGAGCAAGGGGTTAAGACACAACCTATGAAGCTAGCCACAGCCACTGCAGCACGAGTTCGATCCCCAGTCAGGGAGATACCCACACAGTGCAGCAGACCGCTCCTGTCTCGCCCGCGGCTCTCCTTAGCAGTGTATTTCAGTCTGCCTGTTCTGTACCCCACTCTGTCTCTGGTGAATCCTCTCATCCCCTACACCTCTGGCCTGTACCCCAGTTCTCATATGCATAATAAATCTTTTCAAAAAAAGTAACTTGACTGTAGGAAACTCCATGTTATACCAAGAAAGTATATATTTTTAATTAAATATGTTCAAATGGTATTTATGAAGATAAAGCAGGATAAAACCAAAAAATACTGGGTTACAGAACAGTTGACCAAATGGATGAAAGCTAATATTTTTTTCGTTTTCAACAACATTGAAAGTTGTCTGATGAAATATGTTTTCTTTTTGGTCTTGATAATTTGTGCAGTTATTAAAACATAGCCACAGATACTTAAAGCAGACAGGCATAGAACCCAGTATCATAACCAGTTTTTTTTTTTTAATAAAAGTGCCTTAATTATGGAGCACACAAATGATTTATAATCATCATTTGTAGAAAAATCAAACTTACTTTGGATACTTATGTGAAAATATTATGTGTATAGTGACACTTTTTGTATGTGTTTCTAGAGTTACAATTTTTATTTTTAAAGATTATTGGTTTCCCCATATTACCCTGTGTTTATTTATTGTACCCACATAGTGTTATATAGACAGATGACCAAGAATGGATAGGAAAGGGTTGATAAATGCTTGAGGAGATTGACTGACATTGTTTTTAACTTTACACAGCTAATACTACTGGCAGGATTGCATATGTGAATTCAATAAAAGAAAATGTTCATGAGTAAGTATTATTATACATTTTACTTTATAACTATTACACAAAGTAATTTTGCTATAGAGAAGAGGGAGGTATTAAGAAATGATCTACTCCAGGGCCTCCTTGCAGGTCTTCTCTGGTAGCCTAGGGGATAAGTCTCAGCTCTATCACTGCCAGGGCCTGAGTTCAGTTCCTCCCCAAGGAGCTAACCCACATATGGCACAGCAGACCTCTCCTGTCTTGCAGCTTGCTCTTCTTAGCAGTGTATTTCAGTAAATGCATCTGTTCTGCTCCTACTCTGTCTATGGTGAATCCTCTCACACCCTACCCAGTACCTCTGGTCTATATCCCAGTTCTTCTACACATAAATAAATAAATCTTTAAAAAAGAAAAAAGAAATGATCTACTCCAGATGTCACATACAACACATGTGTCTCTAGTTCTATATGCATTTGGGTAGGAAAAGAGTTTCTTTTCTAAAGCATTTATTTTTTTTTTTTTTGTGGATACATTTGATATTCTCTTTTAAGATAATGGCTAACCAAGCTATTATTTTTTTATATAAGGAACATTTCATGATATGAATATCTAAATATTCTGATATTCTGTATTAATCTATTTTCCACCACAGTATAATGTATAATTCCATCTGATAAAAAGCTCAGATTACTCATATTCAAAATTTCTTGAAAGGCAACAACTTTCATTTAGTTATCTGCCTACAGTCAGATTTACCTTCCAGGCCTTCTTCAGAAGGGAAAGAAAAATCCCAAGCCACCTCTGAAAACTCCTCTATGAGGTAGACTTTAGTCAGCCAGTGGATGACAGTCACAGGGCCCAAATATCCCCTCAGTCACCTCTCAGGTCTCCCCATTACCTAATCTGAGATAACACGTATCCTGTTGACTGGGAATCTCAAGTACCACCTTCCCCAAATCTGACATAAATAAAATGTCATCAACCACTGGCCTCTGAGGGAGGCTTGGAACAAGACTATGCAGAATAAAAGTCTATCTTTTCCCTGGCCTTCAGCCACTGTCTCACCCACCTTCAGATGTGTTATTTTAGCTCTATTTGCTTCCTGACTGAAGAGGAAACGATAATAAACCCTAGTCTTATCTGGATTATTCAGCTGAGAAGGAACAGAAGGAAGCAGCTTCAGAGCATGGGGTACTTCTTTTCTTTTTCTCAGAAATCTTCACATAAAATAGAGAAGGTTTGATATTTCTACAAAGTTAGAGTCAAAAACAAGATATTCATCTGGGAGATAATAGTTATTAAAATAAACCAAACCAATGCATTTCAGAATTGTGGTTGCTCTTACAAGAATGTGGCTCTGTAGTGATACTCAGGCAGGCTCAGGAGTTCCACCGATCTTGGTTGCTTCTAACTGAGGGACGCTCACAAGACAGCAGTAAGTTTAAGCATCAAGTGCTTTTGTTAATTGTTTTTATTATTAAAAAAAAATCTTTGGCTTTAGTGCAATCATTAGATCACTTTTCCAATACTTATTGAAAACTACCCCAACAAACAACTAACACTGTTGAAAATATTAAGAATGGGCCTCCCTGGTGGCCGAGGGGTTAAGTTTCAGTGCTATAACCCCTATGGCCTGAGTTCAATCCCCGTCCAGGGAGCTAACCCACATATGGTGCAACAGACCTCTCCTCTCTTGCTTGCTGTTCCCCTGAGCAGTGTATTTCAGTAAATGTGCGTGTTCAGCTCCCCACTCTTTTTCTGGTGAATCCTCTCACCCCCTTGCACCTCTGGCCTATACCCCAGTTCTTCTTTGCAAAAATAAATAAAAATTAAAAAATAAAGAAATAAAGTTCCTTTAAAAAAAGAAAATATGAAAAATTACAGAAAGTTACTGTACATAATATACAAATTTTAAGTTAGTTTGTAAATATGTTACAATTGTATTCTTTTTTGCATAATTTTGCAAATCTTTAATTAAATCAAGTGTTGGTTTCTAGTGTTGATCATAATACAGATAGCAAGGGAGATACTGAATATATTGATATGTCATATTTTGTTTGCTTTAAGTCGAATTCAAGTTCCTCTAGCATCTATGTTCCTATCATTCTTTAATTAGTCCTCAATTAAGTTTGTCTACTTTTTCAAGTTTTGTAAATATTATTTCTAATTATGGGCAAATGTCCTTATTTTTAAGAAAGTCATTTATATTAATTTACTAGACATGATACACTTTTCCCTTCTTTTTGGTATGACTTAGCTATAAGAAGCTAAGAGAATTCTATTAAGTTAGTATTTAAGAGTAAGCAAACTGATAGGCATGTTTTTATCTTTAAGTTCAACTATTGATGAATCTAATCTTTAAAAAGCTACCTTTATTTGATATAGGAGTATTCTCTATACAAATAACAATACTTTGTGTAGATGTATAATAAATAAAAGGAATCAAGCACTAGTAAAAATTATTCTTAGAAATCAAAATTTTTATGAATTTTACAACTTCTATGTCAGAATAACATTTGTCATGTATTTGTGTCTGTGTGTATACGTTATTTTTAGGAAATGTTTCAGTAAATTAAACCAAATTATTGATAACTTTAGAGAAATTACAACATTTTTGGCAATTTAAATTCCTCTATATATACTTTAATGAAATTTATCAATGTAGCATAGTTATCACTGTAAATATTTTGTTGCAATACCTAATTCTTCCTCCATTGTGCAACCTTTATTTTGTGAGCCAGAAACTCCCAAGACTCTGTTGAACAATATAGAAAAGGCACTGCCCCAGACACCTAAAATAAAGCAAAAACAGAAAAATCTTAGAATGCACACAGATTTTAGTTGTCAAGCAAACTAGTGGTAGATTTTGATCACTTACCCATTAAGAAGTGCAGAGGGTTTTCTTCATATTTCTTCACAACTGTTCCCATAAAAAATTTGCTTCCAAATAAGTCAGGAGCCATGAAAGTACCATATTTAGCCATGCCAATCTCATATGGACTAAATTCAACCCAATCTGAAAAATTACAAATGTTACACAAATAAAATAAATATAAGACATGCCAAGTATGTAATTTTCAATTATTCTACTAGTCATGTTGAAAAAAAGGTGAAAAATAATTTCAATAACATTTTATTTGACCAAGTATATCAGAACATTAGGATTTCAACATGCAATCAACAAAAATGAAAAATGATTTTTTTTTCCATAAAAAGCAATCCATTATAGGAAAATACTACAGAGATGTGCAGTTAAAGATCACTTCAACAATGACATGATCATTCTCTTTCTTTTATATAACATTAAGATGATGTGGTATCTAGGGCTTCCCCGGTGGCTCAGCAGTTGAGCGCTGGGCTGCGAAGCTGCCTACAGCCTCTGCAGCACCGGCTAGATCCCCAGCAGGCCTGCGAGGGTCCCACATGGCGCGCAGACCTCTCCTGCTGTGCCCACTGGCCCCTTCAGCAGTGTGTTTCGTCAGTCTGCCTGTTCTGTTCCCCGCTCTGGCTGTGGTGAATTCTCTCACCTTCCCGCGCTTCTAACTGTACCCATTGCTTGTATAAATAAATCTTTTAAATAAATAAATAAATAAAAAAATGTGGTATCTATACACAATGGAATACTAAACAAATATAAAAAAAAGATGAACTCTTGCCATTTGGGTAACATGGATGGAACTGAAGGAGAATGGGCTAAGTGTATTAAGTCAGAAGGAGAAAAACAAATACCAGATAGTTTTACTTATATTTAGAATATAAAGAAACAAAACAAAGGGTCAGGCAAAACCAAACCCCAGAAATCTGTAGAATGAAGGCGAACAGAGGACAGTAGAGTGCAAAGTGTGGAAGGGGTCCAATGGACTACGGTGGAGGACCTTGGGACCCTCGGTAGTAGGTGTGGTGTTGTAACATACACCTGAAGAGATGTGATCTATATCTCTGAATCATATACAGTGTTGTAACCAATGCTACTTCAGTAAAATTAATAGAATAGAAAGAAGAAAACAGGAAAAATAACCAGTTGTCCATTATGTATATTGCATTTATAGAAGTCAGGGGGATCTTATAAATGAACAAGATAGAATACAACTGAATAACTTTTGTAAAGGGGCAGGAGACCCCATAATCTATGTACAGGACTGTGGGTGCCTTGGTGATGTGAGGTATGGTAACATGCATCTAAATTGGTGTGAACCTATACCCCTAAATCATGTACAGTGTTGTCAACTAATGTTACCTTAACTAAAAAAGTCACACAAATATCATTAAACATAACTTTTAATTATATGGTAAGTAAAATATCAAAATATGAATACAAATGTGGAGTAATCAAGAAAAAAATTCAAGACATCTTTTGTAAAGCCCATCTTAATTCTAAGGAACAGAAAACTAAAAATTGCTGACTCAGATATAAAGTCCATGAAGGTGATAGAACAAATTAAACTCTTTCTCTTAATGTACACAGTTTAAAAAAATGGAAGAAAGTGTTTTCTAACATTTGCCTTTTCCTCATCCTTACTTTTGCTTATTCTCCTATATTGTAACTCACAAGATTACACTGCAAAGTGTTTATGCTGAATGGCTTAAATATTTTATTTTACTACTGAAGTGTTGCTCATATGTTGTGCTCATTAAATGCAATTTACTGACCAATGGTACTTTCAAAATGAAAATTTTATATTACCACAGCAAGGTAGTGAGATGGAAAAGTAAAAACTATTTAACAATTAAAACAACTAACATTTATTTGTTTAAAATATTTAAAAGGGGACAGTAATTAAAGCTATTCTAAGAGGGAAGGAAGACATTCTCTGATATTGTTGGAGCAAAGTTGCTGATAAAATTTCTGTGAAATAAAATAATTTGGTTCTTTGATTTTTAAAATACAACTCAGAAATATTTTGACTTTTCCGAATACTCCTTTTCAAACTAAGCAAATTTTAAAGAAACAAAATATCAACATGTCTTCATTTGAGTTTACTTCTCTTTCTCAAGTAAAACTACTTGAGCCTTCATAATATGCACTACAGATGTCTGATGTGAGTACAAAATCCAGATGACTAATACTTGATGGCTTTGTTCAACTCTGCTGGAAAAAACAGCTTGAACCTTCTTATCATTTCAGCTTAAACAATGAAGGTTATTTGAAAGTACACTGTTCAGCTCAGCAACAATATCACAGTTGGACAGCGAGTCCAAATCAGACACATTCAGGTCCAAAGACTACCAACTGGACATAAAACATTCTTGTTTCAAAATATTCCCAAATATTCTCTCTCTAAAGTATATTTATTCTTTAATTGTTTGAGTCAGATTTTTCCCAGAATGACTAGTGACCCAAAGTTCAGAATACAAAGAGGCTACTGTAACAATTGTAACTTCAATAACAAACCTGGTACATCTTTATGTCTCTATCACATTCAGTTTTATGCAAGCCTTGTGTGATTGTCTTAGCTGCTCTGCAAGATAAACCTAATGTTTATTGATATTCTTCCATCATGAGAAAAACAAGAATCAGAATTAAATGACCACCTGAGGTTTTTCAGTTTAGAAGCAGGACAAGGCTTCCAATTAGTCCACTGCTTGTTTCACCATATCCAAACATTTCTGCAGTGAAAGGTGGCTATTTGGTCATATGTGGATTTGACTAGCAAACTAGTGGTATTTAAAAAACAATTCCAAGAATCAAGACGTCACAAGGCAATAGCCATGGGAAAGCAAAAAAAAAAAAAAAAAAACAAACAAAGAACAATTTCATTGTAGCACATAATTTTCATCCGTGAGAAGCTCTTCACTCTCCCTGTGACCCCCTGGTGGTCAGGTGTGGTTCTCACTGTTGTTGAGCCCAAGGGGGGCCCTAGCCTGATGCTGCCACCTCTGCCCATCCAGTGGTTCCATCTACCATTCATAAGCACAGTCTATTCCTCCTTAAGGTCCAGACCTCTCGTTTTTCTCATACAGCTTTTATAGGACAGCTTTCATAGAACACACTAAATTGTTAAGATTTACCAGAAACTTAATTTGGATCTGTTACCCAAATTATTATATATTATATTATAATATTATACTATATATATTATATTATATATAGTATAATATTATAATATCAAATATTTTATGTAGCCAAATATTATATATATATATAATATTTTAAAGATTCATCCATCCATGCATACAAGAGCTGAGGTATAGGCCAGATGCATGGAAGGTGAAAGGATTCACCAGAGACAGAGCAGGGAACAGAACAGGCAGACTATGAAGAAATACACTGCTGAGGGGAGCAGCGAACAGGTCAGGAGGTCTGCCGCACCATGTGGGTAGCTCCCTGGCTGGCCAGGGATCAAACTTGTGCTGCGGTGGCTGCTGATTGTTTCATAGGTTGCATCTCAACGCCTATGCCACCAGGGAGGCCCTATTTTATATATTTTATCTCACTTATTTAGAAAAATACAAAATACATGTAACAGATGAGGAAACTGAGGATAAAATATATGACATTTCCATATTCATTTGTGCCTTCTTAAATAGTATTATACATTCCTGGAATAGATAAGGTCATATAGGATAGGGACAAAACACTGTGAAAGGAGAGGGGAGTTCACCTTACATGTGGCCTGCTCCATTCTAGAGACCAATATTTTAATAAAAAGAACAAAGGACTTTTGGGACCCAAATTCTCAGGTCTGCTACTTACTTTTTGTGTGGTAACGCACACATCGTTTAATCTTTCAGAGATTTATGCCTTCTTCTGTGAAATAAAGCTAAATACACCCCTCTCCTTGGTTGTAGTAAAAAGTGAGTAAGATAATAAATATAAGTGCTTTCTGAGCCATAAATATGACACATATTTTAGTCATATAATGATGCAGTGTTGCAAACAAATGTTACCTCAATAAAAGGAAAAAAAAATAACAGTTGAGAAACACTTGCTGAATGAATAAATTTCAGAAGCACCATTTTATAAACTATTAAAAATTCTTGCCTGAGAATCATCTCTTGAAGAAAAAGTGAGACTTAAAAATTGCAAAAGGATTCTGAATATAAATCTGTTAAGCAGATGCTGTTCACGATGATTTCTTTAAGCAATAGTGTGACTGATGTCACTGAGAAATTTTTCCTAAAAATATTATGATGCCTACCAGGCACAGAAAGAAATGTTATCACACTGCAGGCTGGGACTGGCAGAGGTCCCTCAGAAGGATGGAATCACATAGCTTTAGAACACCCTACAAGAACAGAAGCAGGGCCTCCCTGGTGGCTCAGGCGGTTGGGCACAGCAATGTGAAGCAGTCCACAGCCTCTGCGGTGCGGGTTCGATCCCGGTTGGCAGGAGAGATACCCGCATGGCGCAGCAGGCCTCTCCTGCCTCACCTGCTGCTCCCCTCAGCTGTGTGTTTCAGTAGGTCTGGCTGTTCTGTTCCCTGCTCTGTCTTGGGTGAGTCCTCTCACCTCCCGCACATCTGGCCTGTAAACCGGTTCTTGTATGCATGAATAAATAAAATAAAATCTTAAAAAAAAAAAAATAGAAGCAGCCATAGAAACCAGTGTTAACCTCTGAGAATTAACAAAATGAGGCATTTGTTCACCAGCCTCAGCACAGATTAGGACTTTTTAGGCACTGAATTATAAAAATCGGAATAGTGCTTTGAGTACCAACATATAATAAATTACCCAAATTAATGAGACTATATCCAGCACACAAAAGACTATTCATGGTCTAAAAGGGCTAGGCACACACATTATTGTATTAAAAGTCTTAGAGAAATTGGTCATTAAAATCATGTTATTGATCTTAACCATGATTTATTTTTTATGGTTTACTGTACTAACTCAAGGAAGACATAGTAGTAACTAATTTCATGGAATAGTTGCTGCAACTAGAAAATCACCAAGTTTAATATTTTCCAATGTATTCCAGAATATATATATAAATAAGCCACTAAAATTGCTTTGTGACCTTCTTCTAAAGAAAATCATTGGAAACCACAGTGCAAAGTTTACAGGAAATGAAGTGAAGGAGTCTTTACATACCTGCAAACATCAGCTCTGACACATCAGGTTTGACATGGAGACAGGTGAACAGAGGTAAGGGGCATTGCGCAGCATTGATTTTTTCCTTCAAACTACTCAAGGTAGTGTTCATTCTCTGCCCAGAGAGGAAAGAAGAAATGGTTTTAGGTAGCTAAAGATACATATTCACCACTCACAGCCAAAATATTTATAATGTCTTCTCACTTCTAGAATTCTGAGTCCTGAAAAACACACAAAAAGTAAGCTCTATGGAAGTAACTGTTTTCATTTTAAAAACAACCATAACTCTAAGGACTATGTCTACATTTGAATTGGAGAATGATTTGGTAGTTTTGGAGCCAGGAATTTAGCCCCCGGATTCCCTGGCACATACTCTATTGCCCCTGTTTTATCTTCAGATGAAATGTCACGCCATGATCATGTGTCAAATGGATTTGTTCCATGTGATTCACTTCCTTTTCTGATTCTCCACGCAGCCTCCATTCTTCCTCTACTTCGTAAAAAATTATTTTTATTCATCTCCTTATCTAATAAGATTATCATGGGGGTAAACAAGCAGTTAGACATTCGTTGTAAATTTTCCAAGGAAAAGGAAAATCACTTCTCTGTGTCAAAGCTGATACACAATTAGGATGAACTAGTAACACTAGTTTGAAATGTAGAGTTGTGTCTGGCAGGGAGTGTGCATAGCTCAGTTCAGATTGTTGAAAGGGTAATGTGATTCAAATGTCTTTTACAAAATGCATCACACTTTGCTTTATTTACAACATTATAGTTGACGTAGTCTATTTGTATTAAAAGGATTGCAGCTGGAGCCATAGCTTACATTGTGAATTAGAGTTTCTCCTATTAACATTCCAAAGATATCAGTGAAGGTGACAGGCTGTCCAGAGCTTTTCTTTTTCCATAAAGACTCGACGTATCTTTTAATTTTCTGCGGTGTGAGAAGTAAAAGAGGATTGTGGCTAACATTTTTCATTAGCTCTTCATTTATCTCATCTGGCCCTTTCTCTGGAAAATCAGGGTGAGAATATAAGGTTGACATGTACCTGTGGAGGAAACAAATGATAATCGGTATAAAGATGAAGGACAATGCATGGTAGTCTCTAAGGAAAGCAAGCACTCTGCCATAAAAGAAATAAAGAATAGTGGGACTGTTTGGTTCATTTAATGATCTGATTGAAGATATTCAAGGAAAGAATGCATCGACCAGGAAGAAGCTGGTCTACAATGAAAGTAAGATAAAGGGCAGGTCTCAGAGGAAGCACTGGACTTTCCATGCACAGTCAGGAAGAGGAGATGACCACCAGACCACTGTCCACTTGTCTACTCTCAGAAATGGACATCTCATTTAGATGACAGCATATTTGAGTCATGAAGCAAAGTGACTCATCTGGGTAGAAGACCGGTCAAACAATATGATAATTTGATTTTCTATGGTGATTATTTACAAAGAGGAAATGTGTTGGTTGAACTATTATCAATTCCTATTTCTCCTAACAAATGCATTTTTTTAAAGAATTTATTATTGAGGTAACACTGGTTGATAACACACTGTTTATGATTTAGGGGGACAGATTTACACTTTTTCAGATAAACACCTCCATACCACACCCACCAGAGTAACCATATCCCTTTACCATCTACTACTGGGCAAGCCCCTATTCTTTCTTCCCCTCGAATAACCTCTATTTTGTGGTCATATTCCAAGACTTTACTTTGGTTCAGTTTTGTCAGTTTCTTTATTTTGTTTCTTTATATTCCATGAGTGAATATAGTGTCTTTCTCCTTCTGGCTTATTGCATAGAGCATAATCCCCTCCATTTCCATCCACATTGTCACAAATGACAAAAGTTCATCTTTTTTAATAGCTGTATAGAATCCCAACACATATATGCACTCATTTGACATTGGGCACTTGGATTGTTTCCATAGAACTACAATGAATAATGTCCCAATTGAAAAAGGAAGAAAGAACTAGAATTGAAAATTTGTCCTATTAACTGAAAGGACTTATTTTGAAAAAATATTTTACATAGGATTTAAGTTCTTAGAGACCAAACTCTCCCACTTCACATTAAATTAGAATTTCTTTTTGGATTTCAAGTTACTTGGAGACAAATTGAGAATAATTATAAGTAGCAAATGGGCAAGGATGATAGACCTAGAAGAAACATATACTCTGCAAAAGAATATAACAAATTCTTAAAAGATCTTTATAACATGAGCTGAAATCCTAACATGTCCCACAAATGCATGGTACATGTTAAATAGGCTTACTCTGCATTTAAGCCTGGCATAATCATCAAGTAACCACAAATATGGCAGCTTAGATTGCTGGAAAGATACAAAGTCCACCCATTTTTATAGCTATTCCAAGATCTATCACATGATCCATTCACACACAAAGATTCAGCTTTGTACTTTTCTTTTTTTTCGTACTTTTCTTTTTTTTTATTATCATCAATTCCATTTTTTATATTTTATTTTATATATATTTTACATAATTTTTCATTTTTGCACAATTTTTGCATAATTTTGCATTTTCATCTTGGTTATAGTCCCCATACAATTCCCACCCCCCTTGTTTTGATCCTACTACTGCAATTTTCAGCAACATGGATGGCGCTGGAAGGAATCACGCTCAGCGAAATAAGCCAAAAAGAAAAAGAAAAATGGGGCCTCCCCGGTGGCACAGCAGTTGAGTGCTGGACTGCGAAGCTCCCTGCAGCCTCTGCAGCGCCGGTTCAATCCCTGGCCACTGGTAAGTAGTCCCACATGGTGCGCAGACCTCGTCAGTCTGCCTGTTCTGCTACCCGCTCTGGCTCTGGTGGATTCTCTCACCCTCCTGCACTTCTGACTGTATCCAGTGCTTGTATGAATAAATAAATCTTAAAAAAAAAAAAAAAGAAAAATACCGGATGGCCTCACTCATAGCAGGAATTTAGAAAACCTAAATAAGGGACCAGGAAAGAGACTAATTATAATAAAGTAAAAATCAAAATCAACAAGCAACTATAGATCATCATACTTTTCAATTTTTTGTTTGCGTTGGAGCAATGATGCTGCTTTATATATAGTTAAGGACATATTAAAAAAACAGAAAAATCAAACACCCGTTTGAGTCTATATGGTGATTGGCTTTGGAACTATTTAAGATATGTTTCATTCTTTATGAAAATGCTACAAACTGTATATTATGTAACTGTATATAATTTGGATTTTTGTCTTGAATCCTAGAAAATTTAAACCTAGGCTTGTGTCTGATGCCTTCCAAAGCTGTAGATCACAACACTAGCTTATACTCTATTTTGTAGCTATATTTTTACACTTTATTTCTATCCTTATTGTGTGTATTCCAGTTTTACTTCATAATAAGATACACTAAATCCACTCCTTAATACAAAAAAGTAAAATAAGAAGAGAATCAGACCTAATGTCAGTAGAGATCAATTTAGTCATGGAATGATTTATTTTAAATGGTAGGTGAAAAGGAAATGATATAATCACTTGGCGAATGGAAGTTACTATTCTTAACTGTGCAGAAGGATGATGTAATGACTCAAATCTCACTTACATGATGATCTATATCTGATGCCCTCTCATCTATATTTGATCTTTAAATGAATTAACTCGTGATTTTAAAAAGCACTTCTGCATTATGATTACCCTTAGCAATCCAGAAGGCTTTGAAAGCAGCAAGATCTGAAAACTCTTCCCTTTCTCCCAGTGTTAGTCATTGAATGTAGATTAAGAAAATCCTTTCTTTGGGGTTGAGGATTTGTCCAAAATCTAGACTCTGTACCACAGAGAGGTAGATCTTTTTAAGAGATCAAAATGTAGAGGTTATCAATTCAATCTTCCTTCCTTCCCTCCATCCTTGTCTCCCTCTTTCTCTCCCTCCCAATGTAACTGGCTTGATAACACAAGCTCTATTGAGAGACAGAAAGACCTAGAATACCTCAACCATTCCCACTGGGTAAATGTTCTCTGTTTGGCATCTTTGAACCCATATTCATTAAAATTCTTTTTTTTTATTTTTTAAAAAATTTATTTATTTGTACAAGAACCAGGGTACAGACCAGATGCATGGGAGGGTGAGAGGATTCACCAGAGACAGAGCGGGTTGCAGAACAGGCAGACTGACGAAATACACTGTTGAGGGGAGCAGCGGGCGAGTCAGGAGAGGTCTGCCATGCCATGTGGGACCCTCGACGCGTGGCCGGGATCGAACCAGCGCTGCAGAGTCTGCGGACAGCTTCACAGCGCTGTGGTCAACCGCCTGGGCCACCAGGGGAGACTCTCATTAAAATTCTTATGTGTGAGTTGACAGACTTTTCATATTATCATTGTGGTGACATCCAAGGTTTGGATTTCGACTTTGGTGATAGCTAAATATGGAGTAGTAGGCAATGGCTAGTTTTCCTAAATATCGTTTTTGTTTCCTTGGTTGCACCAAAGCAGGATTCAACTATTACTGTTTTCTGTGTCGGAGCTATGATTGAAAACACATAAATATCACCCTGATTTTAAACTTTACCAGTAATGACTCCCAATTATACAAATTGTTTCAAAAGTTGTCTTACACATAGGAGGACCTTTATAAGAAGTTAATTTACCTCTATAAATCTGAAAATATTGCCTCTAATTTTTCACCACATTTATATGATGGAACGCCTCATTCTCTCCATATGCTTCACAGTTAGCATTTTCAGTTAGTTGTGAAAATTTAAAAGCTAAAGCATACCAGAGAAGAGGAAATTCTTAATTCAGTCCCTGCCTTCAAATCACATGGTCAGTATTTTAAAATATCACTGACTGGCCTCTTAGGATTTGCTGAATGAGAATATCTGTGCTTATAACGTGTCAGAGATGATTTCATACACAGCTAAGATTTGGAATGACTTGAGAAGACTCTTGATGTTAGTCAAGCAAATATCCAGAAACCTTAAAGAATTCCTAGATCAATTTTCTTACAAATGCAGTTACTTATAAAGTCTTCATTTAGTCATCAAACATGATAAGTGGGAGAGATTCATTAGTGAACAAGACCAGTATAGTATTGTTTTCTCTAACATATACCTTGGCCTTTTTTTTTTTTTTTTGAAGATTTATTTATTTATGTATACAAGAGCTGGGGCACAGGCCAGAGATGCAGGGGATGAGAGAATCCACCAGAGACAGAGTGGGGAACAAAACAGGCAGATCTACTGAAATACACTGCTGAGGGGAGCATCGGGCAAGACAGGAGAGGCCTGCCACACCATGTGGGTAGCTTCCTGGCCGGCCGGGGATCAAACTTGTGCTGCAGAGACTGCGGATTGCTTCATAGTGCAGTGCTTAACCCCTTGCGCCACCAGGGAGGCCCCATCTTGACCTTTTAACCCATCACCTCTTGTGTGACACTTATTAAACTTGTTTTATTTTTCAATGTTCCAGAAATTCTTCAGACAGTAAAACTACCTAAATGCCCCCAGAACAGATGAGTGGATCAAGAAGATGTGGTACACATACACAATACAATACTACTCAATGATCAAAAAAGATAAACTCATGCCATTTGCAGCAATAAGGATGGCAGTAGAAAGGATTATTCTAGATGAAGTGAGCAAGGAGAAAGAGAAATACAGTATGGTTTCACTCATTGCAAGAATCTAGAGAAACCAAACAAAGAATCAGACAAAGATAAAACTGAAAGCAGACAATAGATCTGAAACATTCAGGAGGGGACAGAGAGGGCGAGGAGGAGAGTAGGAGACAGGGTAGACAAGCACAATGGACTATGGTGGAGGACTATAGGTACTGTGGTGGTGGGAAAACTATGGTGGCCACGCCTGAGGAGAGAAATCCTATATAATGAAAAAATAAACAGGGATGTTTAAAAGATAAAAATAAATAATAAGCAATTAGAGAACAAAAAGAAAATGAGAAAAATATACAAACTGAAAGCTCTCATTCTTCAAAGGCATTTTAGTCAGTTTAATGAATTGGCTCCATTATGTGTGGGTATGGAGCTGTTCTCATTTTCCTCTAAGGGGGAATGCCATACACACACAGCAGGCAGTATCCAATAGCCCCTCAAGATACCAAAAGTGAACAGCTGTACTGAAAAGGAACTGTGCCAAATAAGAGAACAAGGATCACTCTCATGATCCTCCCAGTTCACTCATGTCAGTTCTCCTGGTTTTATATATACTTTTACATTAAGTGAATAACAAGCATCATCCAAAAATAATTTCAGAAACAAATGCAGTAGCAGTTACAGGGAAATTTTATCCTACGTAACATTCTCTCTAGTGATCACAAAAAGCTTTTTGGGAGGTCCAGGGCTTCTCAGATATTTCCGTATTACCTTATGCGTGCCAAGCAATGGTCATAATCAGCAGACTGTAAAAACTTACACAACACAGGAGTGTAATTTGTTTTTCCAAGTCTTTCCGAATTCCTTCCTTTGAACTTTTTACCTTCTCACCCATATTTTTCAAGAGAGAATTGCTAACGTGAATCATCCTGGCTGACTTTCCTTCCGTCTCAGGAAGTATCTTCTTTCCCCATGGTTAACAGCTTCACCAGCACTTTTCATCGGTCCTGTCTCTGATCTTTTTCTATCCATGATCCAGTTCTGTCTTTACCTTTCATCTGTTTTTCTATACTGCCTTCTTCACCTTACACTACAAAAATGCTCAACTCCCAAATTCTGAAAACAAAACAAAAACCCTTCACTGGGTCCTAGATTTCCTTTCTTGAAAAACAGCTGGTTCTTACTAGGTTTACCTTCTGACCTTTCTCTCTAATGTTCTACTAGATTCTTATGCTTATAATTTCATGATGAAAGATGCCCCTTACTTTTGTTTTGTAACGAATCTTTTTCAAACTACAAAGATTTCCAAATCTATTTTGAAGCTAAGCTTTTCACAGGTATCCACGCTATTAAAATATTCACTATATATTTTTTAAATGGCATAAACATTAATGTTAAATTCATATGAATGCTACTACTAAAATAGTTACTACTCCCTGCCCACCCTTGAGTTTTTTTGTACCTGATTCTCTTTTCTGATGGCTTCTTGGAAGTCTTCATTGAGGTTTTCTGTCCCTCTCTGGTTCACTAACTTTTGGGATGTTCTAGAATTCCTTGAATTAAGTTATCAGTAGGAGGAACTGGTTTGGATAGAAGTTTGCAACTTTACCAAGGGTAGACAAGAAGATATAATGAGACAAAAGGGAGTCCTGGCAGAAAACTCACATTAATGAGAAAAGTAGTGGATGTCAAAAAGGTATATGTGGAGGAGGGAGAAATCAGAGCAGATTTTTAAAAAGGCATGATAGGAGTGATTTGAAAGAAAGAAAATCAAGGTGTGAAGCATTTTAACCTCCAACTAAATTCTCCCTGACTTCCAAGAAAAGTAAAAAAATAAGAAAAGACCCCCTTCTATTTGCAAAGTAGGTGGTCTTTGGGTGAAAATCTAGTTTATGGAATGTAGAATGAGTAGACTTTCAAGAAGTGAAATAAATAAGATAAAGCTAATCTCTGGGAAAATCAGACATTGAGGATAGAACAAATATTTATATATATATAAACACATGGCCTGTAATATTTAAATGATTGGGCTATCACATTTCAAATTCTTTTAATTACACTTGGTTTCAGAACCCTGACAGCATTATGTAAGATCTATAAATCTAACCAAAGCAATGACAGCAGCTCTAACCAAGTCCAAACACACACTCTTATACACCCAAACCAGCACTCAAATCTGGTCTTTCTTTATTGAGTTTAAGAAAGTGAGCTTCTTGAGTATATTCATCAGTGACAGACCATAGAGATCTAACAAGTAGTTAAAACAAAGAAAGAAAACCACTGACAAGTAATAACAAAATACTTGAGTCGGAGAAATAATGTAAAGGTCCAAATTTTCCCATCACATTACTCATTAAACAGGCAGGTGCCTGCTCTTTCCTTTAAAGACAAGAATAATGATGGACTACACCCTTCTTTCAAAAGAGATAAATCATTTTGAGGGTACACTCAAAAAGAAGGTAGTAACCATGGTTCCAGGTTTTCATTACTTAGCTCCAGCATCTGGTTCAAATATTGAAAAAACCATAGATTATTTAAATGTAAATCTGTGTGTGCAATATACAACTGTCTAAGGGAAGGCTGTGGATTAGTTGAGAATCCCAAATAGGAGGATCAGAAGCTTGAGTTTACGGTGACCCTACTGATGACCTTGGACAAATTACTTGACTTCTGAGTCAAATTCTCTTTACTGGAAAAATGAAGGATAAAAAGACACAAACATTTAAAAATGACAGACATATAAAGCAATCTTGTCATAGAAGAGTTTTACCATAGCTGAGTGAGTAAAAAGCATTGTAAATCAAAGCAGACATGCTGTAATAAGATGATACTCTTATTTGGGAAATCTAAGCAAGGACAATATTTGGTTTCCAATGTGATAAAAAGGTAGGCAGAGCAAAAAACATTTAGTATCTTTTTTTGAAAACATTTTATATATGTGTGAAAAAAGATATCTACAGCATACGAATAAATAAATGCAAGTTTAACACTCTCTTTCAATGTAGTAAGCTTAAACATATTTAAAGCATTAATTTCATAATTAGATACAAATCAGTGAAGTATATTACATTTCTGCATTGAAAAGTTGTTTCCCCTCTTCTGTGTACTGAATTATCTTGCATTTTATTCTATTTGCCCTAAAGAAGAAAATGAATACCTAGTGAATCACGGAGACTTAGACACGATTGCTGAAAGATGACAAATCAGCAGATTTAATTAATTATGGGTGGAGTATTTTATATAGACTTATTTTAATTGATATGTATATATATATTTAACTACATTTTAAATTACAAGCAGGCTTAAAAGGAGAAATTTATGATATTTCATTTATGATCATTTATGAAAAATCATTGTTAGTTATGAATTTGCCTTAAAAGCATTTTTAAGGAGTGAATTGCTATATCAAGCTGGAACATTTCAGTAACTTGAAGTTAATGTTCAGTTTCATAAATCACCTTTTCTTTTTTATTGTTTCATATTGATCAATGATAAACATTTAGGGTGATATAACTGAGATTTAAAATGTATACTAACCATGTGGAGCCAGAAAGACCAGCAATGTAAGTAGCACAATCCAAAATTCCTGACTCGTACAGTGCCTTCATCACCCCAGAGAACCCCACCATGGCTCGGAACCCGCCACCAGAGCCCAGTATGGCCACCACAGGCACCTGGAATAATGAAACACAGAGATCATTTGCAAAGTAAAAACATAAAACATACCCTTTTCGTTTTAATTATGTAATCATGAAGTTCATTCATCCCTTGGTAGAGTCTAACTTTTGAAAAGAAGAAAATTATGTTTCCTATACAAAAATGCTGGCTTAGGTTAATAATACCTCTCTGCTATAAAGTGCTCCAGGCTGGATGGACATAGGGTCCAGAGATGTGGACAATTCCCATTAGAGGAATTGGAGGGGCAGAGTAGACTTCACAGATAAAGGGGGAGAAACTTGAGCTTGCTTTTTGATAATACAGTGTCAAAGCATTTTAATTAATACATTGATTACTAACAACGCACAAAGATAGTGCATAGGACAACCTGAACTTACTCTTAAAGAGGCACTGTTATTCACCAGGGAGGAATAAGGGAGGGCAGAAGAGTGTTTTGGAAATGGAGGCAGTGAGAATCAATGAAGAGTTTTCACAGTAAAGTAGAGCAGCATAGGCCGCCAATAAATAAAGCACATGTGTGCTTGCAGAGGAAGAGATTGTCATGCCTTCGTCTCTTGAACCAACACGGCTAGAAGTTTCTCTGTACCATAGGGCAGTAGCTCTCAGAGCTTTTCGGGAGTCCACAAAGTCAAAACGACTTTCATAAGAACATTAAGATGCTATTTGCCTTTTCACATTCTTATTTTCTCATGAGTATACAGTGGGGTTTTCCAGAGACTACACGAAATGTGATATAGAAGCAGTGTGAATTCAAGAGACCTGGGATTCCAGCTGCATTTTGTTAAGTCAAATATTAAAGATATTTATAAAAATGTAAAACAATGCCATTCTTCTTACAGGTTTTTGCTTGGGAAAACAATTACTTTCATAAACTATAATTTATATTAATATGAAATGGACTTATTTAAATAAATATATGCTCCAACAGATTTTCTCAGTTTCAGTATGACAAACACTGATAGATATGATCTATATGAACAACATCTCTTGGGAGTTTCCAATATATTTTTTAAAGATTTATTTATTTATGCACACAAGAACTGGGGTACAGGCCAGAGGTGCGGGAGGGCGAGAGGATTCACCAGAGACAGTGGGAAACAGAACAGGCAGATTGACTGAAATACACTGCTGAGAGGAGCAGTGGGCAAGTCAGGAGAGGTCTGCTGCACCATGTGGGTAGCTCCCTGGCCAGGTTCAAACTCGAGCTGCTGTGGCTGCAGATAGCTTTGTAGGTTGTGTGTTAACCCCTTCTGCCACCAGGGAAGTCCAGTTTCCAATATTTTTATTTTATTTTTTTTTTTTTTGCCATCAGACCCCACAAATATTTGTCCTTATAATACATTATAACTGAAAGGTATACACAACTATGCCAATGCTAAGGATTTCAGGTTATATGCTCGGTTTTTCTTAATAGAAATGGAAACCACACATCTCTAGGTACACAAGAACATGATTTTCCCCTAAAGAAAACTGAATTGTTGCAGAGGTGAGTGCTTCCTAACAGGCCTCTAGTATAACAATGCTTTCTAATTGTGTAGTGTATTATACTATGTAATTTCAGACTTAGAGAAATGTCTGAAATTCCTGTTATTTTTATTAACAGTTAAAACATAGTCTGTTGAGTCCAATAACAAAACATTGAGAAATGCTCTTATTCCCATGTATGACAGAAGCTTACTTATATACTTCATTTCTCTATTTACTAGAACACCTCTGAGGTGGGTTTTCTTTTTTTTTTTTTTTTGGCATTTTATATTCAGTGTCCATTGGCTCCTTCTGAGAGTATCCGTGAAGGTTCAGTAAATTTTGCAGTGAACAAGTAAAAGAGTGCTGGTGTGGGTACCAAAGCCAAAAGTGGTAAATCTTGCTCGAGTTTATCCACTCTGGTAATGGAGATTATTCCATAGGCATGGAGCAGCCAGTGGCTAAAGAGAACAATAAGTCTCTTCTTTCTGACCAGAAGATCATAGCAGTTCTCTATTTCAGAAGCCGACATGTACACAGCCAGAGTAACCAAAGACAATACTAATATAATGTAGGGGAAGGCATAATATAAAAGGCCTCCACCAACTGCTTGAAGTATGGTTAAAATTGGGAAGAAGTAAAGTGCAGCATAAACACTTTTAAATCGATCAGACTTCCCTAACCCACAGGCAATCTTCTTTACCAGAAGAGGTCGGAGCAGCATCATTAATACCAAGCAGAATGCATAATAGATAAATACAATGGTGTACAGTGGGTAGACAGCTTCATGAGTACAGTGCACTGTGGTGATGTAATCTGGACTTGGGTTGTAAAGCATTGTGTACCAATCAGAAAGCATCAGTACGCGACATGAATGGATATAGAGAACACCAACTGGATCACTCACAAGTAAGGTGATAATAGCTGCCATACTGCATTCAAATAATGCTGTGATGTGCTGGAAAAGTGCACTGGAACCCACACTCTCCATATATTTCAGTTGAGCCATTTTTAGATAACAGGGTCTTCCCACAATAAAGTCCAAGGCATGCTGGCTGAATATCTACCGCCATCGGCCGCGGCAGGCGCGCCCGGAGGCGCTCGGGCTCGGGCTCCGGCCGACGCCGCCTCCGCGCCCGGACATCCGGGCCCCCCCAGTTTCCAATATTTTTAAAGTGGATAAAGGATTTCTGAGGCCACAGAGTTAATCACTGCTCTAGGATATCTAAAACTAAAGAAAAAGTAGACTTATCAAGAAAATGTTGTGTGCTTGGCACTAGTGAGGACACTTTCACTCAATTTATTTCTTTTCATGCTCCACAGTCCTCAAAAAGAGATCATTATAATTTCTGTTTCTCATATAAGGAGTTAAGCAAACATAATACCTTGTTCACATGCAGAAAGCTAATAAGTTAAGTATAATCAGGTGTCATCTCCACCAACATTAGTGCTCATTCCTCTTACATTATTCCAAAAGAAAGGAGAAATCTTTATTGAGAGAAACCACTGGCTATTTATCCAAACTATATTTCAGATTCATGTATCAATTCAATTGATATCAGCACAATTTTATGCAACAATTTTATGAATATGTGGATATTTTAAAATGTGGATAAAAACATGGATATTTTAATAGTCTTAGTCATTCTGAAATAACTTGCGAAGAAATAACTGGGGAATTATAAGGTGCAGCTGTTAGTTCTGGCTGTACATCTAAAAGAATCCAAACATCAACATTGTTGGGAGTTCATAGGTTATATTTAGACCTAAAGGCACCCGTATTTGTATGATAGCATTTTTGTGTTATTAATATTTCTCATACTTCTTTCATATGGTTACAGGAAATGAACAGGGTTACAAAAACCCTGTTTTTTTTTCTTTTAATTATATTGCCCTGCTACGTGGGCTTACAAATAATTTCCTTTCTTGCAAAAGAAATACTACATGCTCAAGGATTTGTTTAAATTTTCAAAGATCTTAAGGTCTGATAATTACATAAAGACGTTTGTCCCCTTGGCTCTGGCATTAGTCAAAATTTTCCATAAAACAGAACCAATAGGATTTATTTTTCTCTCTCTCTCTATCTATCTATTATTTATCATCATTGTAAATTAGTTCACTAGAATTTACTCATGCAATTTTGACAATACCAAGTCCAAATCTGCAACATGAATCAATAGACTTCATTATCAGAAGAGCCAACTGTGTGGTTCTAGTCCAAAGGCAGTCTGCTGGAGAATGCCCTCTTGCTTGGGGAGGTTGGTCTAATTTTCTATTCAGGCCTTCAGCTAATTGAATGAGGCTCACCCACACTGTGGACAGCAATCTGCTTACACAAATATCACTGATTAGAATGTTTATTCATGAGAAACATCCTCTAAGTTGATACGTAAGTTAACTATCACAAGTCCACCACTTTTTAACTTGGTATCCACATACATATCCTTAAGTCATACTCAATCTCCAAATAAAAATAATAACAAGTTCAAACTTTTGGCTAACATGATGCCACTATCCTGTGTACAACCGGAAATGTACTAATCCTTCTCCAGAAGAGGATGCAATGTACTTCGATGACATTTATTCTTCCTGATGTCTTGTTAAGTTAAACATGAATCTCTGTGTGTATACACATGCACATATTCATGACAAACTAAAGAAGAAATACTCATGACAATAGTAGTTCTCATTCCTATAACTGGTGACATAGTCATAGCTGATTATTTTTAAATACCTTCTTACACTACCCATTCTGCATCCCCTTTGCCTTCATCAGATACCTCAACTGGTCATGGGCAAGGTAATACTCTCTTAGTAGCCTGATCTCTGAGTAAAGTCAATGGAAAACTATCAGGACCCAGGACAGATAAAGGCCCAGACCCTTTAGTAATGGAGGGATAAGTTGCCCATCAGGTAAAGAACCATGACCACTGAGGTCATTTGGGCCACTTCCCCATGCAACTTAGCTATATATTCAGGACATGTTCAGCCTTATTTTATATATAGCACTTCCATTTGATGTGCACATCTAACTTTACTGCTGGACAGACTGAATAATACCCAGTTCATGATGGGCAATTCAGATCATGATAACTTGGTGACACATGGTAAAATGTTCACTTTCTAAAAGTAGGACACCCAGTAGCTGTTGTGCTAACAGGACCTGCACCAAAATCCTAAGTGCCTGTTCTGCAATTTACCTAGAGGGGGCTGCTAAAGGCAACCATCGGACTCTGACAATTCAGGCACCAATGGACCCAGATGATCAGGAGGCCCAAGTGGCAGAGCAGCTTGCATAGCCAGTGAGTGGGTCCAGCTACAGAACCTCTTTTTATTCTGGGACCCATTCAAAACCTGCATTTTTGGATCTTCAGATAACTTGGTAAATGCGGCAGAGTGACACACTCCAAAGAGAGGCCCACTCAACATTGTGCCTCCTTTGTGGTTGAAGGAGGGGACAGACACAACAACTTGTCCTTCATCATGGTAGGGGTATCTTGACTAACCCCACACCACTGGATCCCTAGAAATTTCACTGAAGTATAAGGCTCTGAATTTATGTTGGGTTTATTTCCTACTATCTTATTAATAAGTCTAAAGTAATTGCTGCTTCTAAAGTACTGGTTGCTAGATCCAATTAGCAAACTGTCATTAATGTAATGGATATGTGTGATATCTTGTGAAAGGGAGAGGTGATCAAGACCCCTGTGGACTAAATTATGATAGAGGGGTACAGAGTTGATATATCCCTGAGATAAGAAAGAAAAGCTGCAAACAAACTATTTCTGGTGGTCTTTATTAACAGGGGTGAAGAAAAAGCATTGGCCAGGTCAATAGCTACAAGCTAGGGACCAGAGGATGAATAATTTGCTCAAGCAAAGAAACTCTGACACAGCAGCTATAATTGGAGCCACATCCTGCTTAAGCTTATAATAATCCATGTCATTCTCCAAGATCCATGTTTCTCAACAGGCCAAATAGGTAGGCTGAATAGGGATGTGGTTGGAATCACCACTCTTGCATTTTTTTTTTAAAGATTTATTTATTTATGCATACAAGAGCTGGGGTACAGACCAGAGATGTGGGGGTGAGGGGAGGTGAGAGGATTCACCAGAGACAGAGTGGGGAACAGAACAGGTGGATCTACTGAAATACACTGCTGAGGGGAGCTGCAGGCAAGACAGGAGAGTTCTGCCTCACCATGTGGGTTTCTTCCTGGTCGGTCAGGGATCGAACTCATGCTGCAGAGGCTGTGGATTGCTGCGTAGTGTGGTGCTTAACCCCTTGAGCCACCAGGGAAGCCCACTCTTGCATTTTTTTTAAAAGATTTATTTATATGAACAAGAGCTGGGGTGTAGGTAGAAGTGTGGGAGGGGGGGTGAAAGGATTCACCAGAGACAGAGTGGGAAGCAGAACAGGCAGATCTACTGAAGTACACTGCTGAGGGGAGCAGCGGGCCAGACAGGAGAGGCCTGCTATGCCATGTGGGTTAGCTCCCTGGCTGGGGATCAAACTTGTGCTGCAGTGGCTGCGGATAGCTTCATAGTACTGAGACTTAACCCCTTGTGCCACCAGGGAGGCCCTACTCTTGCATTTTTCAAGTCCTTAATGGTACTATGAATTTTTATAATTCCTCCAGGATGGCAGTTTTGTTTCTGGCTTACTATTTTCCTAGAGAGGGAGTTCTAATGGTTTTCATTTGACTTTTCTTTTTTCTTTTTCTTTTTTTTTTTTTTTAAAGATTTATTTATTTATTTATACAAGCACTGGGTACAGTCAGAAGCGTGGGAGGGTGAGAGAATTCACTAGAGCCAGAGAAGGGAAAAGAATAGGCAGACTGACGAAATACACTGCTGAGGGGAGCAGCGGGCGAGATAGGAGAGGTCTGCTGCGCCATGTGGGACCCTCGCTGGGCTGGCCGGGATCAAACCGGCCCTGCAGTGGCTGTGGACAGCTTCATAGCACCACGCTCAACCGCCTACACCACCAGGGGAAGCTCTCTTAGCACTTTTTCAATGGAAAATTGACACTACCTAGAGACTGTTCCAAAAACAAGCCTGTTTAAAATTTGGATTAGGGATTGGGGTCAAAATAAGGGGGTTGCAATTGTATGGGGAATATAAAAATAAAATTTATAATAAAAAAAGAAACAAAATAAATAAATAAAATAAAATAAAATTTGGATTGCACAACCACAAAGTCCAAAGTGAAGGGAGTTGTGAATATGTCCTGAATGCTTTGCAGCCTCCTTCCTGGCTTCGCAGGCAAGAGAGCAAAGGCATCTGCACAGTTTTAAAATCAAAATAGGTTCTGCTCTGTGAAAGTCACACAAGAATCTGATGCCTGTGGGTAAACCAACCTTTCAGCCTCTGCTAATGATGAACTAAATTAAATTTTAACAATGGGGATCTAGTCTTTGCTTCTCCATAATCCATTTTTTAGAAGTCAGTAAGTGTCTACACCTTAGGCTTTTCCCTGCTCTGCACACTGACGGCATTTCCGTATTTCTTCACGATAACCTAGGAAATCAAAAGATCTAAACTTACAGACAAAAAGCAGAGGCCCCTGTCAAGAATAATTACATTTTTATGATCAATGACTCACAGTTCTTTTTCCTCCCCTACACACATGTTGCTATGTAACAAGGTATATACACTGGCCTTAAACTTGTGGTTATTGGAGAAGTTCTAACAGATGAAAATCTGTTTAAACTGTTTCCTGGGTTGATATCCTCCCTTTGATTATCTAATAAAGTCTTTGCCTAACTATCATGGAGACTTTTATTTCTTTTCTTTTTTTTTAAAGATTTATTTATTTATTTATACAAGAGCCTGGGGTACAGGCCAGAGATGTGGGGGGTGAGAGGATTCACCAGAGACAGAGTGGGGAACAGAACAGTTGGATTGACTGATATATACACTGCTGAGGGGAGCAGCAGGCGAGACAGGAGAGGTCTGCTGTGTCATGTGGGTCACCTCTTTGCCTGGGGATCGAATTCTTGGTGCAGTGACTACGGATAGCTTCATAGTGTTGCGTCTTAACCCCTTGAGCCACTAGGGAGACCCTGGAACTTTTATTTCAATTAACAAGATGATGTGAAGAAATTACTTCA